CGCGGGCACAGCTAAAATGTCACGGTAAAAGTGGCGCCACAGTCAGCTCGCGTGGCAACGGAGAGGGAGAGGGAGAGGGAGAGGGAGAGGGAGAGGGGAGAGGGAGAGGGAGAGGGAGAGGGAGAGAGAGAGAGAGAGAGAGGAGAGAGAGAGAGAGAGAGAGAGAGAGAGAGAGAGAGAAGAGAGAGAGAGAGAAGAGAGAGAGAGAGAGAGAGAGAGAGAGAGAGAGAGAGAAGAGAGGAGAGGATAGAAAGAGGGAGATACGAGGGATAGAGGGGAGATAGAGAGGAGAGAGAGAGAGTGGGGGGGGGGGGGGGGTTTGGGGGGGGGGTGCGGGGAGCGCAAGCGGGAGCGGGAACACAACGATGGCGGTACACACGTGAGAACAGGTGGTGGAAGTTCAAGGCGTGACTTATGTTCAGATATATACGTGGTACATATTCAGAATGTGTAGAGCCATGGTTGCGTGGTCTTGCCCTCATCTGAACAAAATCGACGGACTGATTCGATACTACATTTTGTTTTGTGCATAATAGGACTGGGAGTCCAACGCTTTAGCAGCCCATCTATAGGGACGGAAGAAGGACATCAGATGGGAGTCACGCGATTCATCAGTCCTATAGGGTTATGCATCATCATAGATAATCATATGTGTGTTGTCGAGATGTACATGTATGTTAAAGCGAATGTTCCACATTGGAAGATATCGAGGTAGGCATCAGATATGATGGGGAAAGCTTACTTGTAACCATTGTTAAGCTTTCAAGGTCCAAAATCGACGCTAAGTAGCCAAATTTTAAAGTTTGTAAAATGCGCCCCATTACGTCATTGTTTGATGGCGCCATGGAATGATTCAATGACGACAGCAATACCTGGCAGCATTTGGTAGCCATACCTAAAGAATACCTCGAAACACACGAAAGCTGACGCCAACCGGCCATTTTCGTCGCGGGGGTTATGTCGGGTTGCGGGATAGTGGGTGGTTTGTTTGTGGATTTTTTGTCTTGTGCCGCACGTAAGAAAAGCTTTCGTGGACTGTTTGACATACGAAACGTAGCGATCACCAGCTTTTATGCCAGATTATTAATATGCAAGCACGATATGCTGCGCTGCTGCTGTTGCTGCTGTGGTGTTGATGATTTTGTCAATGCTTTATTGTCGACCCATCGTTGCTTGCAGTGCTGTAGTCCTGACATTGATATCATATGATCTGCCTACTAGTTACTTTCTTTATTGTTTGTAACTGGAAATGCAGTGTCATGCGAAAATAAAAAAGACGCTTGTAACGTTGCTATGAATTGATTGTCAAAGCATTGCTATTGCAATGGTAAAGATGATAAGGCTTGGGTACCAATAAAGTTTTCGTTGCTTTGGATTATTTATGCAATTAATAGTTAACCTCGATATAAACATTGTGGTGCAAAGACATTTTTGCTATTGATAGTCGTTTGGCATCATTAAATCCGTTGTTACCAGTCATTCATAAATCATAAGCTGCTGCCGCATAGGCTTGACATAGAGAAGTCAACCAATGTGGTACATTGTGTAAAGGCATGGATCAACAGCGTCATTATGGCACTGCGTCAGTGCTGTACTGTGGCATGACATAATCAGCAACAACATTGTTTTTGCACTGCAATCCATGCTGCTTTCATAATAAATTCCATCATGAAAAGGTGGGTGAAGCGAGCGCTTATGTATTGACTCGCCATACGACATATGACTAACCAAAAGCACATGATACAATATACAAATCACCTTCAGCAAGCAGACAACAATAAGTGGCATCACTTGCTCAGTCTGTCGTGGGAAATTACAAAACGTAGGTGACAGAGATGCAAACACATCTTCCACTTCCACAGTCATGCAACATGCTGCAGCCATCAAGCTACTTCACTAAACAAAATAACAGAAAATTTTGCATGTGGTGAAATGACACTGCAAACATGCTGACCTTGCACAAGGTTTGATACATAACAAGTGCACGTAGTTATGGTTGGATGGGCAAAATGCAAGGAAGTGATGAAGCTGCCAGTGCACACAAAGCTCATGATAAAAATATTATTAAGTGCTATCCTAGACACCAACAGCAGTACTTTTCCACCTTTCTCAGCAACCAGCATCTCACGCAAGTTGCAGCGACTATGACATTGATGGCTTACGAGCGATGCTCGCCTGCATACATAGCTTGTTAAGGCCGCGCAAGGTGCATCAGTATTAATGCAGCTCTATATTTTCAGAATTATTTAGGGAAAGACAATTTTGCAAAGCGACATAATGTGAGCCTATACTGAGCATGTCTATTAATGAGCTGCACGCACCTTCCCCTACTGCTAAAATGAATTGCTGATATAATGATATGCAATGGGTTAATTGCATGCTGTAATGCCTCAGTAGGCTCAAAATGTTGGCAAGATCATAATGCTTGCCTTTGTACACCCCTGCAACATATATGCTAGTGTTTCTCTTAGTTTGCCGGCATTTCTTTGTCATTTTCAAACGCAAACATAAATATAGGGGCAGGTATCAATATATCACATTTAAGTAGGAGTCAGCAGACCTAAAGAATGTCAAAACAATGTTCTCTCTCAGAAGTACAAACCTCGCACACACACTCCTCATCACATCAAGATCAACACAAGCCACTGGCGCACACCATCAGCGATCACACACATTTTAAGCCGTCGATTCACATTCTTTTGTCTAATAAGTTTGATATCACAATTGCACAGCTCCCGGGGCTATCAAATTGCAGGTTTTCTCGCAATTCTCGCACAAATGTTCAGTTATAACACTGCATTTCATCGTGACCTCCCTTCACAACTAAGTCCCAACGGGGGGTTCATGGCAATGCAGCTCAAGAGGTTGTACTTGTAGAACAAACTTTTTTCCTCAAGATTTAGATTTGTGGTACAATATGTGTGAAATATTTTGCGAAATACATATCTAAACTTACTGTGATTTTTCCCGAATTTCAAAATGCCTTGCTAACTCATAAACCCGTGCAAGGTTCTGTGCTCCGGAACGCAAGGCGCCAACCGAGCTGTCTGTTAGAAATACGTCAGTGGAAGAAGAAAAGACGCCAGGACGGGACAAAAGACAGAGTTTTGTTGCAGACAGTGGCGTTTTTTTTTCTATAGCATTGACCTGTGGCCTGGAAATACGAAAAAATGACCCGTTCACGACTTCTGCCGCACAAGTTGAAAGTGCTCACGCTTACGTTCGCGACGCGCATTCATCAGCGAAATCTTGCTAACAGCCAATCATCTTCCGCGTATTGTATCATACGTGCCGCATCATCGCTTTTGCGAATGTATGAGCGGCCATGCTGTTTTGACCATAAGCAGAGAACAGCCTGTAATATGACCGCGATCGCATGACGTTTCTTTGACGCCATTAATGCCAAGGCAACTTTGAAATAGTCTCCCGATAAACCTTTTCGCACTTTTGCCGGCGTGTACCTCAGGAGCCAGATGGTTTTGGGTCTTAAAAAGAACATAACCGTGAACTACATCAAAAGATCCTCAAGATGGCTATTTCAGTTCAAAACGCCATACAAGTGTGGAACATTCCCTTTAATGTTGTTGGGTGGGGTAACGGAAGGGCTTCTCCAAGCACGGGGTACTTACAAGGCAACAGCGGAAGACACTGTTAGCGAGGAACGAGCAGCGGATTAAAGCGGATGGTGAGGAAACGCCATCGTTTCGCTCCTAATGCTAGATATTTGGTGGCAAAGACTCCGTACCTACGTCAAAAATACGGCGTGAAAAGCACGTTTACGAGGAAATGCAATACGAAGAAGTGTGAAGGGAAGTATGACGTGTACCAAGACAAAATGCGATGCAAAGCAATGCATGCGCGAAAAACTGTGTCACACGCAGTTGAAATGCGAAGAAATACGTCTGCCAAAAAAAGAAGAAAAAAACTAGTTGAAATATTGTCGGAAGAAAGTTTTACGGATCCAAATATTTGGTATAAGGAATTTTTGCGAATAAGGATTGGCTTGCAGTGATGTGTGACGCGAAGATGTGCGTATAAATATGTCAAAAACCGTACGTGGGTGTGGGTATGGGTGTGACCGGGAGGTGCTGATTGAATTCCAAATTTTTGGATCCCAGTTGTTCCTAATTCCAAGGCGAAATTAGACGGGCGGGAACAAAAATCTTTGGATTTAGATATTTCTTCTTCTTCTTTTCATTCGATTCCAGTGTGAGAGCGCGGCGACGCGAGTAGTCACTAGGGTTTTTGGTTGTAGACAGTGGTAGAAGTTGATGCTTACAAAATTAGAAATTTTGGGACAACCTGATTTTTGGAAATTGTTTGATTGGGCAGCTTGCCCTTCTTTGGACTTTAGGATGAACTTCAGAAAGAACTTTGAGAAAACGGCACCTCTGGCGTGAACGTGCTGGTGCGCGCGCTGATTCGGTCCGGGAACCGCGTCCCGGAACGGGTCGGAGCGCGCGTCCGCAGTCCGCAAACTGGCGCTCACGCTCTACTTCTATCTGAGGGGGAGGGTTTAACCCGCTCCAAAGTCATTCCAGGTGCAATGGGAGGGTCAAGTAGAGAACGTTCTCCGGCATGTCCGATGCTACGATGTAAGAAAAAGCAACTTCTGGAGCTGTGACGCGTTGTCTATTCTGTTGCAGTGTGACGAGAAATTTCGTTCTCTTCATGGCTTATATTTTGCTGCTGTTGAAAACAGGATCGAAACATTGATGAGCTCGCGTTTGTCGTGGGATCACCCGCTCACTGTAAAATTTTGAATTAAAAGCGCGATGAAGAATACAACAGTTGTCAGCCATGGCAGAGTGCGCCAGGCCAGTGCCTGGTGCATGGAGCGCTCAGTGAGTTGCGGTTTTAGCTAGCGCATCGAGTCACGAGCATGATGGCTGGCATGGCGTGCTACTGTGTGCCTCGCTTTAACCGCGTCGGTGGTTATTCTCTAGCAGTGACTGTAGTAGTTCCAGTGGCCGACCGCTGATGTGTGCCGTCGTCGACAGGAGCTAACCCGGGGGCGGTTCTGATGGGTGCACCATGCGACTCGGTCGGCCGGCCCGGACCATGATCGGCGTCTGGACGGCGCTGCTCCTCATCCCGGCCGCCACCGGTACGTGACGTCACATGATGCCAGCCCGATCAATCCAGGCTCGGCTGCAGGGCAGCCCACGTCAGCGGGGTGGCCGTGTGGAGCGCAGGCTTCAACGTGTTGTATCGCGGCGCGCGCTCATGTTGGCGTGCGTTTTGTATCCGTGCTGCTTCAATGGTCGGTGTTAAAGCAGGCAGGAAGTTGGCTGTCGCCGTACATTTACATGGCCACACAAATGGGGTGTGATTGAGAGGTGTCGTTTGGGGCTGTGCCCTAGTCGGTGACGATGTAGGGTCACCCACCCACACATGACACGCGTGGTCTCCACCCCAGCCCAGCCGCTAGAATGGTGAGCGTTAGTCCCGTCTCACCGCTACTCGTCCAGCAACTCGTGGTAAATCAAGATTCAGGCAGACATTGCATTGTCCCTTAGTACTCATTACATAGCGGCATAAGAAGTGCTAACAGAGCAAAATATCCACTTGCTAAATATTGACACACAAGATCGATCGCATAATATCGCGTGGAAAATATCGGCCTGCAAAATAACATCAGGCAAACAAGACACGGAAAATATCGTCACTGCAAAAGATAAACGCGCAAACTTTCGACACGCGCCTTGCTGACTCCGCCAAATGTTCACGCGTAAAAGGTAGACACCGTAAAAATTACACGTTAAACGTGCACGTGCTATACATCAACTATGCAAATACTTGATTCAACCTATTCAAGGCACGAATCTCGATACGTCTGACAAAAAACGTACGGCTACGGCCACTAAAACTCCTTGATGTCTGATGGTTGATTTATGTCTCTCGCAGGATGCTGAGGACAACAGAATGGAGAAACAAATCGCTGCATTCAACACACATAGGGAGAATTGGTTTTGATCTATGTGCGTAGTATTTTTTGCAACTGTGCACGACGAGTCTCATCAACAGTGCTTTATTTTTGGTTTCTGGCGCGGGCAAACACGGACCAGTGGGATCCGTTAGTATCTGGCATTCTGGCAGTTCAAAATCATAGCAACGGTTTGTGTTCTGTGCAACTACTGGTGAAGGGGGTCACCGCGGACATGCACTCCCAATGGGCGGCACCTACTTACAATCTGTTACTCCAGGACCCCAGGCAGAATACCTAGTTCTCTGTGATGTTGGGGCTTGCCGACACCCTCAGCTGCTGCGGTCGTGTGGCGTCGCCTGCCTCTCACTCTGGCGGGATGAACGGACATGGAGCGGAATCGGACCCCGAACGTCTGCTCTCCCAGATGCTCCCAGCTTAACCACTACACTGACTGGACCGGACCCGGCTCTGTAGATGTCATACCTGGCCTCCGTGGATATCATTGTTGAACTCGAATAAAGGCATGCCAATTAGAACCAGTCAATTTTTTTCCGTTCCGTTTTTTTCCGGTAGGCTCAGATTGTGCCCCAAGTAATGTTTTCATGCTGCTTCCTAACCGCCAGCGGCAGTGGCACGCAGTTGTGACTTCTCATGGAATTCACCTGCACATTTTGCTGAAATAAGCTCAATGGAATGTATATTTTCTGGAAAGCATTCAGTTGCAAGGGCAGGACATGGAATGGGAGGTTTTGTGGCACAGTTTTTGTGAATGTTAGGCTAAAATAAAGATGCGGATCCATCTATATAATCATACTCATTGCAAACGCTTGTTTTGTACCCAAAGGTCTCTACCATGGCAACGACGAAACGCCCGCCGTAATGATACGTGTAAATGCAATGTGACGGACGCTGAAATGGTGTGCAAAGGCATGTGTAACATGCATAGCAAGCATGAAAGTATTTTATTGTTACAAATAAAGCGAACTGGCTCAGACATTTTCAAACATTTTAGGGAATAGACCAAAAGACTAGGCTATGCCCTGAATAAACCAGACTGTCTAGATAAACTAGTCTATGCCCAAGGCATGAACTAGTTTGGGGCATACTTAACAGTGCAAATTTGGGTTGAAAATCTAGTTGGCCATTTGGCAACTTCTTTTTAAATCCTGATGAGCACGACTGAGGTGGATGGTTTTCAATAGGTCATTTAAGGTGATCCGAGGTCGTGTATGACTTTGACTCGGAATTATCTTGTCGATAAAGGACCTTGCCCATGCATTATGATGAACCCAACGGCTAGGGAATACAGTAGAAATACTAGGTAAAGCCGGGCAGAAGCCACAACACAGAGCCTATTTGATGACGCTGGCCAACTGGCGTTTTTCAAATAGGAATTTAGGATTTACCAGCTTCCGTATAGTTATTTTATTGAAGAATATTGCAAGTATATTTTGTGCGCACAGAATAAAGTACTATGTATTATGTTTCATACGAATTGTGAAATTGTTCAACCTATGTAATCGACGTTGTTATCTGGAATTTGTTTTACATTAGATTTTGGCTACCTTGGATAACCATTTCGGAAATAAGTAAATCATATACAGCTGATTGAAAATTGATTGATTGATTGATTGATTTGAGGAACCTATAATCGTTGGATTTATAACTAATTAATGAAGTACGTGTGATACGCGATTATGATTTGGCCATTTGTTTATCCTTTGGATTTCTGGTCTTTAGTTAATTATCTTCTCTTTGATTCTGTAGTTTGATGTTTGATATTTAATTCTAGTGATCGTTGTAAAAAAATTAGTTTGAAGTTTTGGAGCTATGTCAGTTGACCATGGACCCGGCACTGTGTTTATGGAAGCTGTCATGCTACCCTGCGTCTATGGAGGTTTTCATAATACTTGAGTTGGATCAGATGGCGAAAGTTTGTCATGATTTTTAACACTTTTTACCACTGTTGTTTTTCTTAAAGTCTTACATAACATGCCAGCATATATTTTGAATGCTTTGCTTGACTGGAGCTTTGTGTGGCGGAGGTTTTTTTGCGTTGGGTTTGCATATTTGTTTCCACTTTTTGGTCTTAGTTTAGCTTATTCATTTGTGATGCATTATCATGGGTTTGCATTATTTATAGCATATTAATTGGCAGTTTGGCTAGTTACTTGGTCTGCATTTATTGCGTGGCCAATATGAACCAGCGTATCGGAGATCCCTGTTGCGCCAGTCGTGGTATCCGGCCCCAAAAGCGTGGAAGAATAACAATGTTTATTATCACATCTGTAGGACGAATATGATGGTTGCTAGACCCTGCATCCATGTTTCTCGACGGGTCGGTTACAGATGTTTTCTGCCGCGACAGATGAGACGGTGCTTCATCTCTAGTCTATGCGACGATGCCAGAGCGGCCGATCATGCTCAGTTGAAAAACTAAACAATTTTACCCATGCATCAAAAGAAGTTTAAGTTAATCTAGACACCCTGGAAAGCGCTGTTAATGGTTTCCTGAGTCGCGTTCATGGGACTCTTGGGCACTGTGGCTGGGATGGTCATCTGTTGTAGCAATTCACTAGAAGGGAGTGTTCCACATTTATGTGGGATTTTGAACTGACAGCACCGAAAGGTCTTCAAGATGGCTATATCTTGAGGACCTTTCGGTGCTGTTCACAATCCTGTCCGTCTTGAGACCTGAGCCCCTTTAGTTTCTGAGCTACACGCGCACGAAAATTGGGAAAGGTTTTTCGAGACGGCATTTCAGTTACCTTGGCATTCGTGACGTCATGACAACATCATTAAAATCCTGTCGTTCCATAAGCCCCCGGGTGATCAATATCAAAAATAATATTATTGCCGAGGCGTTCATGAGCGCAATTTCCAGGTCTAACGGTCGTCAATTGGCTCTCAGTCGTTGTTGTGCAAGGTACGATGACGTAATCAAACCATGACGCATTGAGGAGGATATTTGGTAAACAGATAAATTGTGTTGCCAAGAGCAGCCTTTCTCACTTTAAAGGTATTCCAAAGTTATAAATGGGCCTGTTCAATCATATAGAATGTTTGCTTAAATATCCTGAAATATGAAACATGCCCTTAACTCATTTCCGTCATCATTTTCGGTTCATCATCATTGCATTCCGTTTTCTTCAGTCCTTTATATCTCTTTGTAACACAGAAATGCCTCGCTGCTCTTAGGGTGTGGGAACTACCGCCACAACCCCGGTACTGACTAGATAGTGTGTTTCGAATTCGTAGTCTTCCACGACCACCAGCGTGTTGTAAGTTTGGCAACTGTCGAGGTTACCTCATTTAAAGCCCAGGGTGTGAAAGCATCACCAGTGTATGACAAGCTGATGTAGTACAGAAAGTATGCTGTCGTATGCTAGTGCGACTCAGTGATCTTGATCTCGGCAGGTCCGAACTAGATCTGCCATAGGCTTAACAAAATGACTTTGTGAATCGGGCACAAATGAATGCTTCCGCACTGTACCCAGTTTGACAGAACACGGGAACGACGCGTCTGAAAATGACTTACGCACATGTAGGGCATACCATCTACACAGGGGTTTCATTAGTTTCATCCAGCATAACATGTGTACGGGTGTTTCATTAGAACCATATGTACGGGTGTTTCAACCTGATCGGTGAGATATGTACGGTGTTTGATTGGTAACATCGTGCGTGTGTTAGATAGGTAACATCTTTACGGATGTTTCATTAGTAACATCTATACGGGTGATTCACTGGTTTCATCTAGCCTGCACGGCATGAAATTGCTAGTCAAATTCGTAAGTAATTAGAGGCCAAAAGACATGCGCTAACGGAAGTGTGAGCTACGTATTGCGTCAATCTCAAAAAGTTATCGCCCACGACAGGCCGTTGCTATGATATGGTGAATTTATCAAGGGATTTAAACTGAAGCGTTGTTAAAAGGGAAGAATAATAGAGCGGGCGGAAAACTGTGACAGCATTAACTGGCCATTTGATCCCATTGTGGCAAAGTTTAGATACATTACTTACGGCGGATCTTCTGCACCTCTGTGCGATATTACCATATTACATGCGCGATAGGTCACACAAGGACGTCACACATAGGTCACACATGGAGGGCTCACATAGGTCACACATGGTCACAAAAGTGTCAAACTGTGCTGACGTTGAGATAGAAGTACAAGTACGCAATATTATAAGGATTGCAGTCATTGAGTCATAGAAGAAGCGCGAACACTGAGTGATCTTTAGCGTTTCGGCTTCTGGTGGGCGTTAGACCGTCTGTCATTCAGCATTCCATCTCAGGCAAGTGCCAGCTAAAAAGCAAAAAACAGCATATCTCTTGATTGCCTGGTCCTCTGCAAAAATGAGCCGGTTGTAGTTGGGTTATTCCGTACCAGTGCGATGTTGCAATATTACAGGAGTTAGGCTCCCCGTCGTAGTTGCCGGTATCAGCGCGGGAAAACCAATTAATGTTTAGCCCAACGCTTCGCAAAACACGCTGGTAATGTTAGGTGAACGAGAAGTGTAAAGTTCCGTGAAAGCGGTTCTGTTTTCAAGACAATCGACAACCAGTGTACCGACTGTCGAGGAATCCTGAACATTGTGGCTTACCCTCCCTCAATCTGGTGGTCTATCTTCACAAGCTTTCAAAGAATCTGTGATCCCCTCTGCCTGGCTTGTTCCAAACCTAGACGCGAGTTCGCCGTCCCTTGAAGTGCGCGATAAGGTTGTGTGCGCTCCACCCCGTTCACTGGCTCCATTTCATGTGGCAGCGTTTCGTTTTAGGCCGGCTTCTGTGCGAATGTGTTTTTGTTAAGTTGCCTGTTCATGTATTGTAGAGGTTAAGGCAAGAATGGCTCCTTTATCTCTCTTTCTCAATTTCTTTTTGGGGGGAGGGCGCTTCACAAGCGGTTAAGAATCTATGCCGTACGACGCGGAGACGGAAAATGGGACGAGCGTTGGTGTTAAGGCGCCTATGAGTGTGAAATCATCGAAGTCCTCGTCCGTTTCACATCAATGTCAGAACGCAAAAAGCCTCACACTTTATTCAAATCTTTGATATGCTTTCATGCACTTTTACAGCTGAATTGGCTTGAAAGCGCTGCCAACCATACTGCTGCACGAATATTGGCGAGCGGCTCAGCTGCGTGCGTCCCCCTCCCCCTTCCCCACTCGTGTGTTCCCCAGCCTTGGCCCCGACTGCACTGGCTAGCGTTCGCGGATGCTCGGCGCCTTTCATGCTGGCGCCTCGCCCTTCTGCCTAATCGGGTTACCAGCTTTTGTCGGGGATTGGTGCCAAAAGATGGCAAAGATGTGCTGTGTTCTTTCGTTACGGGCCGTGACGTTCTGGCAGATGCTGCCCTATTCCTTGGCTTGTTAGCGCTGGCAATCTGTCTTTGCAGTCACCATAGTCTCGGAGCAGGCTATAATCAGCCTACTGATGCAGCCACGAGTGTAGCCTGTGGAGGTCATTATTGCCTGCGTCGTGTCATCAGCTGACTGCATTTGCTCAGCGCGGTGGAAGAGTCGCCGCGGCCGGCCCGCGCCGAGCCGTTGGCTAGCGCGAGGAGCGCGCCGTCCTCCGGGATGCCGTGCCGTGGCGTTGCGGCGCGCCATCACGGCCGCATGGCAGTGGGGCCATCTGGTGGCTCGGTGGCCGTCGCGACACGGCAGCGCTGGCGGCACATATCGACCAGCGGCGCCGCGCCGCTCAGGGCGGCTGGCTCGGCGCCGGCCGGCCGACCGGGCTCGGCCAGCGGACTGAACGGCCGCCATCAGAGGTTACACGAACACCATCAGCGGCCGCACAGACCGGCCTGATGGAGGTACCACCGACCGACCGGGCTCGGCCAGCGGACTGAGCGGCCGCCATCAGAGGTTACACGGTCTCAAATGAGCTGCACTACTAGCAGCCGCACACGCCGGCCTGATGGGGGCACCGCCGACCGACCGGGCCCGGCCAGCGGACTGAGCGGCCGCCATCAAAGGTCACACGAACACCACCAGCGGCCGCACACACCGGCCTGATGGTGATACCACCGGCCGACGTTGCCCGGCCAGCGGACTGAGCGGCCGCCATCAAAGGTCACACGAACACCACCAGCGGCCGCACACACCGGCCCGATGGTGGTACCACCGGCCGACGTTGCCCGGCCAGCGGACTGAGCGGCCGCCATCAAAGGTCACACGAACACCACCAGCGGCCGCACACACCGGCCTGATGGGGGCACCGCCGACCGACCGGGCTCGGCTAGCGGACTGAGCGGCCGCCATCAATGGTCACACGAACACCACCAGCGGCCGCACACACCGGCCTGATGGTGATACCGCCGACCGACCGGGCTCGGCTAGCGGACTGAGCGGCCGCCTGGAAAGTTATGCATTTTATGGAATGGTTGGTGGTCCCAATTTTCTGCCAAACGGTTTACCTAGCAAAGCGGTCTCTCCTAAGGTAGCTGTGCTTGGTTTTTCGTGTTCTTTTTCGAATGGGTTGAACCTTGAGGATGGAGAACACCACACTAGTGCATTCTCAAACGCCAAACATCTGCATCTATGTACTCGCTAGTTTATGTTCCGTGATGTGGCCAAACTTGGAAAAATATAATTGTGCCAGATGGTAGGAAGTCTTGCTGAAACGAACCTGACGTCAATGTTGGTAGTTCTTGGGCTTTTAGCGTCTTAGTAAACCACAATGGGTTCGCTATATGCCCATAGTTTGCGTTTTAAATGATGGGAAGCACGGCAGTGGCCCATTGCAGGACTGTTAAACCTGGGCATGTTCATGGGCAACAACTCACATACCAACCGCACTAAGTCAGTCTAAAGCAAACTGCGTTATTATTCTGATGGTCCTGACCCACGCCAGCCGCCTGATTTCATGAGGTACTTGAGAGACTGCCTTTGAAGACAGAACCCTCACCAGTCAGGCACCAGTCATCTTACACAGCGTTCAGCAGTGCGCAGCTCAGCCGTGTCTAAAGGCGTGAGAATGCTGCCTCTGCTGCTAAAAGACTACTCGTGGAAAGATGAGATTGCTCGCATTTGTCCAATAGGCAGATTTGAGTGGAGCACGGCTTAGTTATTTATGGTTGCTAATCATCACTTCATCTACTTCGTGTGTCACTTTTTACTTTCGCCAAAATATTAACAACATATGAAAATACTGTACAATAGCTTAATGCTTACCAACCTAAGATCGCAAACCCAGTAGATTGCTACCAAGTACCTAACTAAAGCCTATGACTATTGTTGCGCCTTTTGTACGTTGGAGAGATGGGACTTGGCAAGATGTGAGCTGAAGAAATGTTTATAGTTTTTCCATCTGTGCTGCACAAAATTTATACCAGACACAGAGTCAACATCTGCTGTTTTTCTTATCCGTGGATAATGGTCCGTTACGTCATCACTCCATTACGCAGTGTATATATATATATATATATATATATATATATATATATGCCTTATACCAACGGAGTAACATCTTCGTAACTCTACAAAGATGTGATGGGCCGAGTACCTTCCCATCCTGTTGTAGTGTGCTACTACATGCGCAACTGAAGCGGACTTATGACGCTAATGAAAGGAAAACAGACCACTTTTTGTGATCCTTTGTGTGTTTAATATTGGGAAACAGCTTCGTATGACGAACTTTGGCGCAAATGTTATCCGCTTAAAGTATAAGTGGGAAAGTGCCATGTTTTGACTGCGTAAAATACACAAGTGTGAGATTTCTATAGCTTTGTGCCTAAAGAAGGAATGAACTTGCACGTGGCTGTTGCTTCTTGGTTTCGTGTGGGGTGCTGTACTGATGTACTACTCATGTTGTAATTTGAAAACATATGACTTATTGCACTATGTATTTTCGCGGAGCGTTATACATTGCAACTCGTATATAGCCACACATAATCAAATTAAATGGATCTGATGGTGCTATTTAGCACTATGTATATACATACATATATATATATATATATATATATATATATATATATATATATATATATATATATGTACATATCCTACAGGCGTGCACATGTGGGAACGATGATCCTCGCTTACTTGGACGAGGCCGAGACTCTTTTCCGAGCTTCTCGTAGCAAGCGTTGAGCGACCAGGGCATGTGCGTAGCGCGTGTGTACGACGGGAGCAGCGTGCGGAGAGCGTCACCTGTGTTCACGTCGGCCCCCGTGTGACCGTCACCTGTGTTCACGTCGGCCCCCGTGTGACCGTCACCTGTGTTCACGTCGGCCCCTGTGTGACTCACCTGTGTTCACGCCGGCCGCTGTGTGACCGCCAGGATTGGACCTGCAGAATGCGAAGCACCTGACGGCGCTGGTCGGGCAGGGTGTGGTGCTTGACTGCCCTCTGGACTTCCCCGACGGCCAACCCGTGCCCTACGTCATCGAGTGGAGGAAACAGGCGAGTGATTGCGGCATTGTCCCGACTTCACGATCCGCCTGTCACGCCGGTTCGCGGCTTTTCGTCAGTTTGGAGGACTGCCTGGGAAACAAACTTTACTGTGTTTATTAGGCGGCCACTGGAATCAACAAGAAACATGAAAGTGACGCGGCACGACGCTTCCGACCATTCCGCTGACCGAGTGCGCCGCGGCCTGAGAGGCCTGTGTAGTTTATGGCCTGTCATCGTTGTTGCCATCATTATCACCTCATCGCCATCATCACCATCATCATAATCGTAGTCGTAGTCTTCGTCTCTGCCTTTGTATTCGTCGTCAGATGAGTGGTCACGGCACTGTAACGGCCTCACGACTTGCCTGTCACGTTGGTCCCTGCATGCCACCTGCAGTATTACGGATTTTCAGGACAAGAGCCGAGATAGATACGTTCTCACCATCGGGGTCCGCACAGGCTGGCTACATCCCTGGGCTATATATATATATATATATATATATATATATATATATATATATATATATATATATATACATATGTATGTATACGTACATACATATACACACAGTATGTATGTATACGTACATACATATACACACAGTATGTATGCATATATACATGCTAAGCAGTTAAACACTATTGGGTCGCTGGGACACGCTTCCGGCGCAACTGCCGCGACCGCCGCGCACTCGAGACATCGGACAGATCGTTATTCAGTTGTGGTTCAAGCCTGCTTTGCAGCACGAAGAGGCGGCGCGTCGATGGCATCAATATAGTACCGCTTCCTGCCACAGAGCATTGGTTGGCATCTCACAGTTACACAATATGCCAACATAACAGACAGGCAGGCAGTGAATGTTTGTATTGTACGGTAAGCAGCCGTGCAGCGAATGGACAGGAATGGTGATGACCGTGTCCGCTCAGCGCTATTTTTCGCCCGATTGGAAAATAAGCGTCCAAGGTGCAACAAGTGAAGGTACTTTCACTAATGTTTTGCTGTTTATGTGTTGCACCGTACACACTTTTCAGGTTAGGTAATTGAGCGGTACACCTTACAGGTTTGCATTCATCCACACGCTCATTTAACCCTTTGCCCACCGATGGGAGAGTAGAGTAGAGTAAGTAGAAGCTGGCCAAAGGAAATATAAATGGCCGCGGTAGCGTTTGTGGAGTTGTGTTGTGTTCTAGTCCAATAACCACCCGACGACCCGGGACCATTTTTGGAAGGAGGGGCAACGTGACATCCTCCTAGTCATTAAAATATGCAAATGGGGGAGGGGGGGGCATTAGTGTTAAGCTTTTTGCGTGGGGCTAACGATTTTGTGCGTCAGGTTTGTCTAGCCACGGAATTGCAGTGGAATCCATGCATCTCCTGAGGCCTGACAGCCCTCGACCGTCGTCTAAGCAGCCCAGCGTGTTTCGGCAGGAGCTCCATCCGCCCCTGTACATCTGGTGACTAAGCAGCCCAGCGTGTTTCGGCAGGAGCTCCACCCGCCCCTGTACATCTGGTGACTAAGCAGCCCAGCGTGTTTCGGCAGGAGCTCCACCCGCCCCTGTACATCTGGTGACTAAGCAGCCCGCGTGTTTCGGCAGGAGCTCTATCCGCCCCTGTACATCTGGTGACTAAGCAGCTCGCGTGTTCCGGCAGGAGCTCCATCCGCCCCTGTACATCTGGTACGACGGGTACCCTCCGCACGTGGCCGACAGCTACGAGGGCCGGGTCCGCCGGGTGGACTTGCGGAGCACACAGTACGGCATGGCCTCGCTCAACATGACCAACATCACCGAAATGGACGCTGGCTGGTACGAGTGTGTCGTCCACTTTCTGGACCGGTCACCGGCCGAGCTGGGAAACGGCACCTGGGTTCACCTGGATATACACGGTACGTGCCCGCGCCTGTATCCACATGGGTTCACCTGGATATACACTGTACGTGCCCGCGCCTGTATCCACCTGGACGTACACGGTACGTGCCCGCGCCTGTATCCACCGGGACGTACACGGTACGTGCCCGCGCCTGTATCCACCGGGACGTACACGGTACGTGCCCGCGCCTGTATCCACCTGGACGTACGCGTCACGTGCCCGCGCTTGTATCCACTTGGACGTACGCGGTACGTACCCCCGCTGTATCCACCTGAACGTAAGCGGTACGTGTTTGTGTACCTGGGGCCATCTGAACATCCACACCAAGTACCTGAGTGTTTGAGCCGATCGGGACATCACACCACGTGCCTGTGTGATTGAGCCGACCGGGACATCCACACCACGTGCCTGTGTGATTGAGCCGATCGGGACATCCACACCACGTGCCTGTGTGATTGAGCCGATCGGGACATCCACACCACGTGCCTGTGTGATTGAGCCCATTTTGACATCCGTGGTATGTGCTTCTGTGCGGGGACGTCAATGGCGTACGTGCATATATACTTCCATGTTATGCGTCTGTGATAACATGTCATCTCGTTTTATGTGAGAAATGTCGTCATAATCATCACCATTATGCCAACATCATCGTTTTTTGTGAGAAAAACATGCCAGCTGGGTTTTCAAACCTCGCCGGTGAGCATACACCATCTGCTGGCGATGATCGAGGTTAGTCGGTGTCGCCCGTGCCGACGTGTTGACGGTGTTCCGCAGCTCCTCCCCGGCTGGTCACCACTCCTCCAAAGAACCTGTTCGTCAACGTCGGAGACTCGGAGATCCTGGCGTGTGAGGCCAGGGGCACCCCGGAGCCGGTCATCAGCTGGTACAAGGTCAGCGGGGCGGGGCTGACGTCACGGGGCCGTGGCCGAGACCGCCAGACTGTCGGCAGGGTGATGTCCTGGCGGCACTTCACCATTCAGGGCGATAATTGACGCACCGTTTGCATACGTTTTCCATGATCTCAGCTTTTTCTAACGCGAAGTCCAACTAGCCTTGATGAAGCGTTTCTTTATGTCAATATACGTACACCTAGGTTGAACATCCAAGTTGCCGTAGTGGGCGCAAAATGACTTTTGCAGTTGTCATGCCCTAGAAGGCAAGTAATGAACCCGTTCCTGCAGGTCCAAGCTGGCTATGTTACATTTAGTTCTGCCATCCTCTATTACGAAGGTAGTGGAAATTTGCTTGTTGTTTGGACTTGCGCAGTGGACTTCAGTTTGGGTCCAGTTATGAATGATGCGAAGCACGGTGTGATATTTTATTTTATTTCACTCTGTGAAAGGTGTCATGGTTCTGCCACGTCGTATATATATATATATATATATATATATATATATTATATATATTATTATATTATTTATCTGATAACCACGGAAAATGCTTACCACATGAATATGTCTGTTACGTGGCAACTCAATGTTTTCCTTCATAGCCGTACTGGGAAGACAGAACGCGACAGCTGACCGATGCGTTTTGCTTGGAATGGGGCCATTGTGCTGCGCTCATTGGTTGTTCCTGCTTGAATTGCGTCATCAGGCAGATCAGCCAATCCAGCCCTCGGAGACCGTTGGTGTCAAGAATGACGGTACTGAACTGAGGATAACCAGGATCACCAAGGAGGACATCGGGGAGTACATATGCTACGCAGAGAACAGCGAGGGAAGCGTCCATTGGACGTCAAAACTCATCCTCGCAGGTGAGCGAATCAGCTGGGTTTCTCACTATCGATTTGAGAAGGTGAAACGACGTGCTAAAATGGGAAGATCGGCTTCAATATTAGGAAGGACATCTCGCCCTCGTGTTGCGAGCTGCTTGGGATGGTGCCAGTGATGAAAAGCGGGTCTTAGTCCTGGCTGCAGACCAGATGAAACGCTCGTGCATGGGCGCAGTTTTGCAAAGAGAGTTGGGGGTGGTCTCATTTGTGAATAGTGAAGCATCCTATCCCCAAAATAGGACCAACAAATGTTTTTTTTTTATTTGCCCCACTTTCTTCCCAAACTGGGGGGAGAGGCGGAGAATAAGAAGCTACACCCCTGCGTTCCTGCTGAAATGCCGGAGGGAATATTCTATGCTTGATGGAGGGCCTTGTGTGGTAGTTATGTCCAGTGATGTTAACGTCAATGATGCGGTAAGATCTGCTGGCAATCTGTCCGTTGTTTGAAGATGGGTCTGCAATTTCAGGGTCCGGTTGATTTTTTCTGCTAGATAAAGTTTCAGGAAGAAGACACGCGAACTAGATTTATTTTGCTGTGTGGAAACAACAACAGTCTGGAAACACCAGCCAGTCATATTTGAGAGTGGTTGACGTACTCAGCGACTTGCCTTGTATAGGTGGCGTTACAGTCGAGCTCCCTGTGAATAAGCGGCGCTGCCACCGCGCGTCGCCGTAAGTAACACCGTAAGACAATCGCCGACCTGACCCGCAGGCCACGCCGCCATTGTGACGGGGCCAGCGAACCTGACGCGCATGGAGGCGACGCGGGCCGTGTTCACGTGCGAGGGCCGCGCCCGGCCGTCCAACTTCAGCCTGCGCTGGCTCCGAGACGACATCCCCGTGGAGCAGCACAGCGGCCTCGAGAAACGCTTCAAAATCTCGGGCAACGGCTCGCTGGTGATCGACCCGGTAGCGGCGGAAGACGCCGGCATGTTCACCTGCGAGGTCTCCAACGGCATCGGCAGGCCGGAGCGGGCCTCAGGCTTCCTCGAGGTCCAGTGTAAGTGAAGGGAAGCGGACCAGTGGGCACCAGGCTCGAAATCACTCCTTCGCAAAGGCTAGACAAGCAGTCATAAAGTTCTCTTCAAACCTAGCACGAAAAGTATTTGAGGCTGAAGCGTTGAGATTTGGATGCATTTGTTTAAAGTGCATTTATCAATAGACGAACATTTTAACACATGCTGTAATAATTTATCGCCTGATTCTAAGAGAGCATTTTTAATGCACGTCTCCCAACCGTGCAGTTCAGCCCGTCGCAAGAAAATGTTGATAGTAATGCCACCAACATCGGGTCAGTGAATTGACTGTATCTGTATGCTATTATCTAAGGTGAACTGATTAAGTGTGAAATGTCCCCACGCATGTTCAAACCATTTTAAGACCAAACCATTACCGAAGGCTCGTTTCCATGCTGGATTATTCAGCTGTGCAGTTCGTATGTCGCGAGACATGCTTTTCAAACAGGCAGTCACAGACTGAATTAAATGCTTTCCCACAGACATGGTTTATGAAGTTAAGTGTCACATTTTAACCGGCAGTTGATCTCCCTGGCTTCTTCCATTCAAGGTTTGAATTTAAAGGTGATGTTTCTGTGTGCACAACATCATATTTCATTCTAGTTCAATGCGATTCAATATCGATATGATGCGCCGTGCCATGCAACAGGCACGAATATTTGGTACGAATCGGAAGCGCTAGAGAGTTGGAGTGCTAGAGTGCCATGCAACAGTCACGGATAGTCGGTACGAATTGGAAGAGCTAGAGGATTCTATATTTGCCCGTTGACATCTGTTTTTAACAGTTGTAACATTGGCCCTCACGCTACAACCGTATAACCTCTTGTCCCCCTTCCCCGCCGTCTTGCGGTGAAAGATGAAAAACTTGCATTGGGCGGGGGTTGAAGGGAATGCTTCATATTTGAAGATATTGAGGCAAACATCAGATACGACGGAAAAGCGCCATTGTAACTACTGGTATGCTTGTAAGTGCGAAGACTGCTCCAGCAGCCAAAATTTCACTGCTCAGTAAACATGCTTCCCATTACGTCATCGCTTGGTCATGTCATGTAGCATTTGTATCACGTCAGAGTCGCTGTGAGACTGGCCGTGTCAAAATTGCCATTTTGGTGGGCAGACTGTGGAAATTCTTCTTTTATTTCTGATAAAAGCCGATAACTAATTAAAAATTTCCCAAGTCTAGCTCCGTCTTTTTGTTCCAGCGCTCGCCATGCGCCGGGCACAGCCGCGATAGTGCCCCCGTGCCGTTTGAGTGTGACCTGTGACCTGTGACGTGCTTCAGACGCGGCTCACGTGCCGTACACGCCTTCGGTGCAGTATCTGCCGACCGGGCTGCAGGGCGTTATACGCTGCCACATCAAGTCCAACCCTCCCATCCAGTTTGTCACGTGGTTCCGAAACGGGCGGAAGTACGAGCCGGAGAACGTGCCGGGCGTCACGCTGCTACTCAACGGCTCACTGCTGATAGAGTCGGTGAGTCAAGCCTCGTGTCGCTGCTCAGCTAGTTTGTGGTCTCCTATGCTGTGAAGCATTTCGCCTTTCTCCGCATTTTCTTAGTGATTATTTCGTGGCACTAGTATTCGTGGCACTAGTATTCTGTTACACGAGACAGAACGAGATGTTTGACAACGCGGTCGCCCACTTTAAGCTATAAGGGGGAAACTTGACTAGCTTTAAAGTGGAGAGATTATATGTCTCGGATGCGCCACTCCTGGTGTCGAACGGACAGCGCTGCGCGGTTTTATCGAAATGTCACATGTGTGACGGTGCTCGGCTGTGTCTTGCGTGTGTGGCGAATGTAAACACGTCATTTTGATCCTGTGGTTTGTTGGCAGTCATTTGAGTCGCATGTGATAAGGTGACTGACTGCCTGGCTAAGACCACATATCATCCCTGTCTGTCGCCTCGCCCGAGCCGGGTGTGGCCTGGACTGTCGTGTGGAACTTGATCCAACTGTGGATGTTCCAAGACAGAACTTGGAATGGCATTGCTTCGTATACGCATTTTCTCGTATCACATTCCTTTGTAAATGCGATTATCGGCGTACGCAATTGTTCGCATCGCTTGTTTCATGGCGGTTAGCAATCCTGCGTGTCGCATTTCGTCGTGCGGGCATTCCTGTATACCACATTGCGTTACACACGCCGTTTTCTGTCTGGTAGCGCTTCGCACGAGCAATTTATCATGCCTCATTTTCTCCTGCATACACTAATCAACTTCGTATTATTAATATTTGCAATTCTCTGGCTGGGGCCCAAATGCGTGTGTGTCAGAGATGCATAAGTTACCGCGTAAGGCGTTTCTTATTCTCAGCATCACAGTTGCGCGCGCATGTTGTGCTGCAAGGCACACGAGCATCCCTGTCAATCCTGAAAACTATATGAGACTGACACGCAAACGTGCGCACCATGTGACTGACACGCACCTCATCCCCTTAGCCTAAATTTCGGATGTCTTTTTGTGCACGTATTCTTTTGCTGTTTTACATAAATGCAATTTATTGTATTGCATTTACAGCCCTACACAAATGCGCGACGTTCCGTAATCCGGATGTAAATTGATACCAGCCAGTGTGTCCACGCGATAGCGCTCTGCCAGACCGGGCTTGCATCGGCGGTCGTCTGCTAGTTTGTTTTTTAACAAACTGTAACCAGTCAACATCGGTGAAACCAACGAGATGACGGCAGAGATAAGTGATGCCAGATGGAAAAATGCCGCAGTATGCGATGTGCGTCTAGCCCAACGTCCAGTATGTAAAGCTGATGCAAAGGTGTCATCGTCATCCTTCGTCTTCGATGTTTGCGTCATTTAAACACCGGACCTTTTTTGGTCGTCTGTAGCATTGTGTCCGGCACCGTCTAGTCCCGTCATTTGCGTCGTCTGAATCGGGCGCGGCAGCGTCCATTTTCCCGCGAGAGCTGGATGCGGTGTCGTCCGTTGTCTGGTCATTTTCCCGAGTGAGCTGGCTGCGGTGTCGTCCGTTGTCTGACTGGAACTGACGGTGGTTCCATCTGTCGTCTCCGGTGGGCAGGCTGTGGCGCCGCCCTTTGTCAGGCCTGAACTGACGATGGCTCCATCTGTCGTCTCGTCTCCGGTGAGCAGGCAGTGGGGCTGTCCGTTGCCTGGTTTGAACTGACGATGGTTCCATGTATTGTCTTCCGTGGGCAGGCGGTGGCGCTGTCCGTTGTGCGGTTTGAACTGACGATGGTTCTATCTATCGTTTTCGGTGAGCAGGCGGTGGCGCCGTCCGTTGCCTGGTCTAAACCGACGATGACTCCATCTGTCGTCTTCGGTGAGCTGGCCGTAGTACTATCTGTTGTATTGTCTGAGCCGGCCGCGGCGTCCGCGCGCCCGCAGGTGCGGCACGAGCACCAGGGCACCTATCGCTGCCGGCCGTTCAACCAGCACGGCTCTAGCGGCGAGTCGGGCGAGATGCAGGTGGTGGTGCGCGAGCCGCCGCGCTTCGTGCTCCGGCCCAAGAACCTGTATCAGCGCAAGGTGCACGACGCCATCCAGATGCCTTGCGTGGTGGAAGGCTCGCCGCCGCCCCAAGTCATGTGGAGGAGGGTACGTCCGGCGCCCACACCAGCGGCGCAGTCAGTCGTGCTCCCAACGGGTGTGGATGATCCCTGAGCCTTGGGCGTATGTGAAGCTTTGCACCTTATGCGGGATGGATGAATGGGTCGCCTTGCGGTTAGCGACCCCAGCTGGGTTGAACCCGGGCCACATGGCCTCTGTGGTGGAGTCACTGGGAAAGAAGTCGCTGAGTCTCTCTGTCCCTGTCCCTCTGTATGCATGTCTGTCTCCCTCTGTCCCTTCCGCTGCCTTTGTTTCCGTGCCTGTCTCATTACATAGCGCATATTTTGTAGTGCGTGTCTTGTTCCTGCATTCTCGCTGAGCCTCTGCTACGGTTTGCCGGCAGCATGACAACCAGAGCCTTCCCAGCGACCGGGTGTTCATCAACAAAGGCAACATCACCATCAAGTCGCTGCGAAAGTCTGACTTCGGCTACTATGAGTGTGTGGCGAGAAGCAGTGTGGCGACCATCGTCACCTCAACACAGGTCAGGCCGCCACAGTCGAGATCGTGCGCTGCACCCAGGTTCACCCGTCTCTATCTTTGGCCTGCTAACGATTACTCCAGAATGGTATTAACGTGACGTTCAGGGGAAGAGGAGTGCCGGCTTAGCTGTTGCAGTTCGTACCTTTGATGTTACCGTAATACGGTATTTAGTATGCATAGGGTGTCTGACAAGATTTAGACGTCGCAATAAAAAGCTCGTAACTGCATTTGCGAGAAGCATCATGCATGTAGATTTGGCAGTTTTAAAAGCCGTATTCCTTATAGAATAACCAGGAGAATGGAGAGATATACAATATATGATAAGCCAGCTGTATCTCTATTCTACTGGTTCTTCTACGAGGAATAAGGCTATTAATACTGCTTATCTGTATTGAAATAAGAACACAAAGCATCAACTGCTTGTCAACGATGATTCTTTAAACTTACACTCGCCTCAGCATCCGGGAGGCAATGTTTAGGCCTACACTCGCTTCGGCATCTGAGAGGCAATGTTTCATTCAGGATTTAGGACGCTAGCATGTCATTGGAAGGCATGCCCACCCAAGAGCGTGTCAAGTTTACGTGAGCAGGCGTCTCCAAGGTGTTCAGTGAACCGATACATGACTGGGCTCTTGCTCTCGCCTACGTAAAACTCGACTTGCCTGTTCATTTTACCAAGCCTGCACGCGATTTTGTGCACCACGTTTTGCCATCAAAACCATGGTCACCGGCAGGGCAGCGTTGACGGCCCGATGGGCAGGACAGTTTAGCGAAGGCTGATCACTCCAGGCTTTGTTTCAGGGTGGGCTGATCACTCCAGGCTTTGTTTCAGGGTGGGCTGATCACTCCAGGCTTTGTTTCAGGGTGGAGTGATCACTCCAGGCTTTGTTTCAGGGTGGGCTGATCACTCCAGGCTTTGTTTCAGGGTGGGCTGATCACTCCAGGCTTTGTTTCAGGGTGGGCTGATCACTCCAGGCTTTGTTTCAGGGTGGACTGATCACTCCAGGCTTTGTTCAGGGTGGGCTGATCACTCCAGGCTTGTTTCAGGGTGGGCTGATCACTCCAGGCTTTGTTTCAGGGTGGACTGATCACTCCAGGCTTTGTTTCAGGGTGGACTGATCACTTCAGGCTTTGTTTCACGGTGGGCCCGCTAACACGAGCCACTCTGATATGTCTTAACATCCTGAAGTGTTTCGTTTACCCGCCGAGCTGCCTTTTCATTGACGTATGGGATGCTCGTGTTAAGTTGACGCCAGTCGGTTAAGAGTGTGTCTCAGACCGCTTTTTAGGGTGATGTGTAGAAGTGGTGGCACGATTGGTTAAATACTCTGGATAGCCGTTTTTTAGGGTGATGTGTAGAAGTGGTGGCACGATTGGTTAAATACTCTGGATAGCCGTTTTTGTGTTGAATAAATCCACCTTGCGTCTGAGGCTGCGGTAAATGGCTGATTTATGGGCCACCTGCGAAGGAAGAATGGCTTATTATGCTCATAGGATGGGCTGAGTTGAAGTGGAGGATAGCTGAAGCTACCATCGGCTGGCAGAAAGGCTAAGTAGTGAACTATCTTAAAGGGTGCCCAACGACCAAGATATAGATGAATGATAAACGTTTTGGTCCAAACGTATGTCCCATGGTCAGTCGAATAACGGTATTATGCGAATTATCATGTTCAGGAAATGTGTTTTTGTTCTGGGATCGGCTTCCTTCAACAAACTGTGATTGTGCCGAGACCAAAACAAATGAATCAGTCCATATCAGAAATTTGACGGGAGCCTTAAACACAATGACTTGTTCCCAGCCTTTGGCGTCATTCGTTGGGTAAAGGTTGCATGCGATTTGGTCACCATCGCAGCATGAACATGTAGGGTCCGTCAGCTAGAATCCAGGGTCTGGCCTTAGTCACTCTGTTTATCGTTGCTCTGACTGGTTCCCGTGTACAAGGCGTTTTATGATATATTTTCGAAACATGTTTGATGTGACGTATTATCTCCAGAATGGCAGTGGGTAACAGTGCTGGGCGAGTGTGAGTGTGCGTGCATGTAAAACTGTGTTCGGAGGAAAGGGTCTTGGGAAAGGGAAACTTACAGATCACTTGAGGTCACTGGGGGCCGTAAGCACGTCGTTCATATCGCCTTGTTTTCATGTTTAAAATCTTAGCATTGGCGTGCAGTTAATCAAATGTGTTCGTGGTACAAAATCGTATTTGGGTTGAGCTGCTTAATGGTGTTTTCTTTAAGCAGTGCTTTGCAATTGTGTATTGTGCATGAACGCTTGTGCCGGTAGAAGTTAAACAAATCCTAAACCTTCCCATGTTGTGAGGTACACGATTAAATTTTTTTTATAACAATCCGAAGAGCACCGCTGTCTGGCATTGTTCAGGTCCGAAGAGACGGCGAGCCCAGACCGGGCCCCATCAGGCCTTCAGCGCCATCGTTTCAGTTAGTGCCTGCTGGTTGTAAGCCCCGTGGGATAAGATTTCATGTTGTATTTTGGATGTGGTCCCTGCGAATAGACGTTTGGTAGACATTTGCATTTGTGATGGTGCAGTATGTCAAACCAGATCGGTAACCACGCGTGGACCGTCCCAATTCGTCGATGACACCACGATGACACCACGATGACACCACGCGTGATGCACGACAAATTACTTTGGATTTGCTGCAGTTGCAACATTCGCACGTGGGAAGTATTTCATAGGACTCCTTGAAAAATCGGGCAAGTACCCATAGCTGTTTACCTCTTTATCTTACAAATGCTTAAGTACATCCTATGGGAACAACTGGTTAGATTCGTGTAGAACCACGATTTTAACTGCGCTACAATTGTTCCTAAACGTGGCCATGAGTCTGGGCTGCACTGTCGCGCCATGGCCACTTGGAATATGTACCAAAATATGTCTTTTCAAGGATAATGTTTAAAATACATGTAAGCTAATGGTGGTCCTAGGGATGATCGTGACTAGGCCTTTCCTTTCGAATCTCGGGAAACACCGTAGTGAAGATCGTCTTGTGGTTTTTATGTCAACAGCAGCCTGCATTCGTTGGTCGCGGTGCTGGTTCTGGACATTATTATGTGTTCGTTGGTAGCGGTACAGGTTCTGGACATATTCTCCCGTGCACGGGTCTGGCGGCGTGTCGCGTCGCACGGTTCAGCCAGCGACGCCCTGCTGCCCGACGCCCGCCCCTCCCCCTGTCCCGCCCGCGCGGGGCTCGTCATTCATCCGCGTCATTATTTTGGCAACGCTCCGCCACTAAGTCGTTTGTCGATGTCCACCAGACACGCCGGAAATATGTCAAGGAGCCAACAGTCAGTGGATAGGCTATCGGTTCTTGCCCAAAAGCCATCTCGTACAGCTGAGGTCTAATGGGTTACGACCGGCCCCTGCCCCATCCTCATGTAGTACAACTGACGTTTAATGGGCCACAACCGTCTCCTGCCCCAGCCCCGGGTATGGAGCAACTGGTATCTAATGGGTTTCGACTGGCTCCTGCCCCATCCTCAGGTAGAACAGCTGGCGTCGATTAGGTCACGGCCGGCTCCTGTCCCGTCCTCACGAATGGGTCACGGCCGGCTCCTGTCCTGTCCTCACGAATAGGTCACGGCCGACTCCTGTCCCGTCCTCAGGATAAGATAACCTCACTCGTGACTATTGGTATAATTGAAAAAGACTGCTATAAGCAGTGTAATTTTTGGTGTGGTAAATGTGCTCCTCGAAACGTCATTGATGGCGTCATGGCGCGTTTGTATTCCGTTGAGGTGCTGCCAAACTAACCATGCGAAATTGCCACCCTGGCACCCATATGAAGTCCTTCAACTTACCGAGAGGTGGCAGTGGCGGTGCTGGAAGTGTCCGTTGAGCCAGATATCGATGTGCTCGTGTTTTGGTCATTTCTCGTGGTGTTCTTGCATGTGTATTCGTGAGTTTAAGATGCTTACTTTTATTCACATGCTCGATTACGGCACTTTTCTTAAGTTAATGGATGGCAAGCCTTATTTCCGTAAAAAACTAGCAACCATGTGCACTTCCTATATTGTGCGGCACAAAACGCGATTTCCCACCATTAGCCATTTGCCTTCATCCCACAGCCCTGATATGACCATGTCTGGTCGAAGGGGCTGTAATTCCCATAATTGCTCAAGAGCCGGTTGGCTTGTTATATATGTGGAAGTCGTGATCGCGAACGTTGGGATGGAACGTCAGACGGAGATGATTTGACGGGCACTGTCGCGGTGTCGTGCATGCGTGAGTGGCGTTCAAGTGATCTGCGGACCTTCGTAGGAGTGTGGGTGAGAAGCTAGAGTGTCTGAAGTCTTAACAGTGGGATGGCTGTGAACTGCATAGAATGGTCTTCAAGACTATTTCAGCTTAAACCCCATACAGATAAGTAACAATGCCTTTGAAGTAAATTTTGGATGGCATGGAACGATACCAAATGTCTCCGAAGCTGTCATTATTGTTGAATAAATAAATATTTACTAAAACGCTTGCATTTATGTGGGTTCTTTCGGCGTCTGCTCATTTCATTCTTCATTCGTTTATTGTGATCCAGAGTCAGAATCGGGATAAGCAACATAGACTTGCTACTATCAAATATCGATTCAGCTCACCCGGTACAAAAACTACCTTTGATTCGGATTACGGGATTTCCTGGTGCTTTTAATTAGAGATGTGAATCGAACACAGGTCTGCTGTGTTTTAACCAAAGCCGGAGTGTGTGTCAGTTTCAGTTCACGTGACCGTCTCGCGTTGTTACGCCTCCCGTTTCAGCGCTAATTCCGGAGTAATTATGTTTGTTTTCCGGGACGGAGGATCCTCTTTAGTCGAGCTCCTCGCTTTCATGTACGTTCTGCCTACCGTGTTGCCAATTTAGTCGTGGGCTCAGGGCTCGGAGGCTAAGTGCTGAGCTCTAAAGTATTTTATTCACTTTCTTGGCCCTCTCGCTCGCGAACCGACTTCTCGTCTCGTGGATGGAACTTCGTAAAACGTTTGGGGGGGGGGGGGGGTGAGTGGAACCCCATATTTGTAAGGAACAGGACCCAGGGATTTCTCCTGAACGCTTCTTTGATGCTATCAGCACTAGGATGACGTGCTGTTCAGGCGACCTGGCTTAGCCTGGGGTGGGGGGGGGGGGGGGGAGCGGAGGGGGAGAGGGTACTACCCAAGCACAGAAGCACAGAGTTTCATTGATGGCTGGTCTCCATTTGGCTTTAACCAGTGAGGTTTTTCTGAGCTTGATGCTCCTCGTGACCACCTGTCTTTTGTAATATAGCTGCCCGCCTAAAACGGAAACGAGAAGACCGGAATGTGGTCGCGCAGCAACAACGTCACACGATTTTAGTTTGCGGCAAGATGGACGAGACAACGTGAATGATGAAGCGTCCGTTGTTCGAGTTCCTTGATCGTCCGACGCTCAGATACGATGGCGAGCGTAATGTATACTCAGCGCTGACGTGCTGCACACACCGTGATGTCGTCCGTACATGTCCCCAGCTGGTTGTGGAGGGGACCACGCCGCACGCGCCGCACAACATCACGACCAACGCCTCCAGCTACGCCATCACCATTCAGTGGCTGCCCGGCTACAGCGGCGGTGACAACTTCGACCAGAAGTACGCGGTCTGGTAAGTGGCTTCCGCCCGCGTGCAGTTGCTGTGCCGCCGCCCCGTCGCGGTCTCCATGGTCGCCGCTGTGGCTGTGCTGCGGGCCCATTACCGCCGCCCCGTCGCGGTCTCCGTGGTGGCTGCGGTGGCTGTGCTGCGGGTCCATTACCGCCGCCCCGTCGCGGTCTCCATGGTCGCCGCTGTGGCTGCACTAATCGTCCGCACGATATTGCGCGAGCACGTCTGGACTGGATTATTTACGTCCGAAAGCACATTGCCCCAAATACGCTCGTCAATCACACCACGCGAGGTAGGAATTGGTGAGGGCGCGCACGTCAGGCTGTGTTTAACTTCTTGTTATGCGGCTCGGTCCCTGGGCAGTGTAGCATAACAGCGACGCAGGAGTTGTGTCGATCACTGTCAGAGCGGGCAGGCGTGCGGCAGCGTCAGGCCTGGTCCCGATCAATAGGCTTCGAATGACCCAGCCAGATGACGGCTTGGTCTCCGGTACAGCTCGAGGCGAGCAGTCACTGAAACTGCTGTGCCAGTGCTATGCAGCAGCTCCTCGCCCTTCCTCGTCCATAACAGATCAAGACATGTGCGTTCAAAAACTTACATGCAATAAAGCGCGGTACTTGGGTTAAATATATCATATTGTAATGCCGTTTAACTGTTAAAGCGTGGTGAAAATGGTGCGACGTCCTCACCGCAATTTTTTAGTGGCTTCGGTGAAGGTTAAAACGCACATGAGCACACATAACTGCCGAGTGAAGCAAGCGCATAAACATGGAGCTAGCTTCCTTTGAAGGTCCAGGAGAGCACAAAACCAAAGTAATCCCACGCTTGCGCCCCTGATGGCTGGCGATTCTACAGGCATACACAAAGGAGCAGAGAGAGGACACGTCCATCTTCCTTTCGTGATAGCTTAACCGTATTCCAGGAGGGGGGGGGGGCAGATTCTGTGCCTTGCACTGGATATTTCGGCAGGGGAGGGGTAGATTCCGCCCCCCCCCCCGAGCTATGCTGAGAGGATGAGGGCAAAGTCCGCCACGGACTATGGGGAGGGGGGGGGGGGGCAAATTCCGCTGCCGCGGGATTTTCACGGGGTTCTCCGAAACGGTTCCTTAGAATTGTCCGACTTTTCCAAAACAGCTTATCTACGCCGTGTCAATGACGCGGTTGCATGACTTGCGCGGGGGCGGTTCCAGGGCACGGTATCGGAAAGACCACCCGTAAATTAGCGGTCAGTGCCGAGATGACATCTGCCCAGGATCGTACGCACTACCCTGCGTTTAAAGGAGTAGCTAATGCTTCTGATGAAAACGGCAGGTGCAGAAGGAGCACGTTGATTGTAGTTTATCACACGCAACATTTTAGAGGGGATTGCAGGGCTCGAAAGATGAGGAGTTTTGTGAAAGGAGATGCTTCGGTATGGTCTCAAAGCTATGCTGGGAGGACGGTGCTATGAAAGGGCTGCATGGGAAAACGTTCGCGCATGTGAAGCTGGAGCAAGGAAAGGAATTGTTTCACACGCACAAGTGGCTCCAGGAATGAGCAGCGCCTCATATCATATGTAGGACAATTTCATGTTCACTCCCCTGCAGGCAACAACATTTTAAAAAGTCGTGCCAGAGACGAATCCAGGAATGCCTAGACTGTGTGAGATTGCAGTGCGCGAGGACCGTGGTCACCCTCAGCGAGCCGGCAGCCGACGGCCCATGGGCTACGCTTCAATCACCTGTTCTTTCTCCTCTCGTTTGGAAAACTGGATACGCGTGTGGTACCTGGCCACGCATTCTTTATTTATACCATACGTTACAGCGTATAACAGCATAAGCAGCTGCCAGGAACATACGCTACCCACTTGGCATCTCCTTTCTTGTCATTAACACAATGACATCCCGATTTTGTCGATACAAAAGGTTGACTTGTTCCTTTTCTGATGGCAAAGAAAGGTGCCACCCTATTTTCGGCTCATCTTCATCATTTTTACATCGAAATCGGTTCATAAGTGCGACAAGCGTGTCAGATATTTTTTTGTGCCCTCTGTTGTCCGTCTTTCAGAATTTCGTGAGGTTTTCCGCGGTGCTGCCAGGGTGAAAAGCAAGCGACTTCATATCGCCTCAGCCAGCTGTGTGCTTCGTAAATATGCCGACAACAGTAAAAGAGTTTTTCATCTTTAGAATGCACACTCTGCCGCAGGGGCATATATTCGCAACATTAGTTGCATGGGCTGAGCAGTGGGAAATGATGAAGGGAGGACGCTGGGATACCCTCAAAATACGTTAGCAAACGAGTTTTTCCACGAATTTGGCCCACTTGTTTTTTGGAAGAGTTGTAGCGCCCCCTCCCCCATAAACACACTGAATAGGAAACTACGCTACTAATCCCTGCTTCGTCTAGAGAAATCAGACGCCATTTGGTGTTTTATGATCAGCCCAAAAGTAGTAAGGTCTCATCGCAATTCCGTTGGTGGCTTGCAACATCAATTTACGTTTGCGTAGCCTCAATGTTGAGTATGGTAGGAGCAAATTCATGTCACGCAGCGTTGACACGAGGAGAGCGTATCGACTCAAGTACCGCCAGTCAAATAACACCGTGTGTGGGTCCCATCTCTTTATCTTTATGAGGATGCCTAATTAGAGCTACTGACCGAAATCCACCATCGTAGCAGGGCAACTCCTTTGGACCAATATGCATGGGACAAATGATTGCTTATCAATACCTTTAACCGAATATGATACGTTCGAATGCTGCCATCGTGGAACACGCCATTTATCATTGATAGGCATTGGCAAAGGTATTGGTAGGTGCGTCAATATTCCATGGGTATTCCACACAACTAACGGCCCTGCTGGGGTGGTATGGCTTCGGTGTTTGCTGCCGTCCATCTTAGCAGGGAGTGCAATCCTTACTTTATCTAAAATGTAGCCCCGCTAATCAGTCAATCCCGCTAACGAACAATGTGCAATGTAGAGCTCTGACTGATGAATGCTATGTTTGGATCTGTGTGAAAGGCAAGCTGTTTATACTTGTTTGGTACACTGTTTTGCCATTATCCTACTGACTGTGCCCGTTGATAAACGTGGTCCTGATCTCCCGTGCGTATTTCCACCGAACCACGCCAGTGGTGGCTGCACAACTTCACCATGCTGCTTCCCCATGAAGTTGATCTCATCGCTGTCCTGTTAAACTGTAAAAAACTTTACAAAACTGGTGAGAACACAAGACTGCGTACATAGTGGCTGTTGAAAACGCAGGAAAAACCCAGCACTCGCAGCAAACCTGCTAACGTAACCATCCCTCGAATCTATTAAACCAGCTGTGATAATCCGATACCCCAGCTGTTGCAGCGAAGCCGCTAGTCGAGATGCACCACTGAGGGCAGCTTGTATTGACGTGGATGGGCCGTGGCGGCAGGTACCAGCAGCACGGCACGGGCAGCTGGAACACGTACGAGGTGCAGCCGCCGGGCGCCTCTCGCGTGACCATCTACCACCTGCTGCCCGGCACGCTGTACGAGCTGATGGTGGCCGCCAAGAACGACATCGGCGACGGCACGTTCTCGGAAAGAGTGGTCGTCAAAACTCTCGGTAGGCGAGCGAGCCAAGGCCCGCCTGCGACGGTCTCTGGCTTGTTTTGAGTGCTGCCCTGAGTGCGGGTTTACGCTCGGCAACTTTCAGCGTAACAATGCATGGTAAGATACCACCTTAAGAGAAGATATGGGCCCAGCATTGACTCTGGGTGATCCGAAAATACAGCTTCTCATTGTGCCAGCTCAACTAAGGGGTCGTGATGCGTAACTGCACTGTTCAGAGTTTGTTGGCTGCCGGGCGGAGGCGGTCCGCGGCGGCTGCCCGATCGAAGATCCGATGGCTCCCGTTCCTTGTTCCGCTTCCGTGCGGATGGACGGGCGCGGTGTGGCGGTGCGGCGGGCTGGGCTCGGCTGAGCGCCGGCCTGACCGGCCGCCGGCGCCCTGTGCCGCCAGATGTAGGCCAGAGCGCGCTACCCGGGGCCGACCCGGCAGCCTCGCGGAAGGAGGCCGCCGCTGCCGCCGGTGAGCCGGCCCGAGGCCTCCCCATGGGCTCGGGCGCCGGGATCGCTCGCTGACCAGCGGCGCTACCAGAGGCCGGGCCTGGCAGTCGCGCTTCCTGGGCTGCATTTTTTGTTTTGCTTACTTTATGAACATAAGCATCGGCAGTCGTATGATTTATTTATTGCAGACAGCGCACGGCTCCATTGAAGTTCAAGATTTGAGTTGCATGACTGTCGTCCTTTTGTGCGTAGTGTTGCTGCTGCGATGTCATCCGTAGTTTACATTCTCACTTGCACGCAGCACCGTCCTGGTCTCCGACACGCGCTCTGATGGCCATTTTGGCTGAGCCATTATCGAAGAATGATCTCTCGACCGGATGAAATGATTGCCGCCATTTCGGCATTACGTGCTTGAATTTGGCACTGCTCCATTGGGTGTTTAATGGTCCAGAAGAGATCATGAGTTCAGTCGCGTGCTGCAGGCTATCCGAGCTAGACTCAAATGCCAGAATGATTTATCTTAGGCTGGTTTGTGCCTTGTGCGCCGAACGCAAAAGTAGCTACAAACATTTGGCCTGTGATGGCTAGTCATGAATGATGGCTAAACGACGTGGACAATGCAAAAGCGAATCTGATTTGTTTACAAAAATGCACAACATGCATATTCATGCGTCCATAGTATGCATGTATATAGGTCCATAGTCTACATATGCTTACGCGCATAGTATGTCTATGCATGTGTACACAGCACGTACGCGCACATACCATGCATAGACTGTGCGGACAGAACGTGCGATTCCCAATGCATGCAACGCGTTAAAGCAATCAAAAGTAATTTAGAGGAAGCAAATCCCCCTTTTAATGTATGTATCAGCCGTCTCTAGAAACATATGCCCGGCCCGTGGCTCCATCAGTTGGAGCGCCGAGCGCCTGCATGCGCTCGCTATTTTCCACGGGCTGGGATGGAGTGTGACCGGTGACAGCGACCGCTCGAGGTCAGACGAGGCGAGATGGTGGGAAGGATCGTGCCGAGCATTGAGACACATAACACTTCCGCCAGAAAGTTCTGCCGTTGAACTGAAATTTCACGATCACCTATGGTGGGGATCCGGGGATGAGGACGGGCCCCAGCGTGCGCGCTGTGCGTCGGCGGCGGCCGGAGACGCCGCTGGCGGCCGCTGCGTCCGGATCGATCGGCCGCCGACGCTGGCTGTAGCCGGTCCTGAGTCGCCTCGGCTTTCCGGCGCCCTGTCACTGGGCTGTCTCGGCCAGGCTGACCGAGCGCTGTCACGGCAGCCGGCGCGCTCCGCATAACAGCCGTACTAGAGCGAGAGAGCAAGAGAGAGAAACAGAGTGTGAGAGAAAGAGAGAGAGCAAGAGAGGGAGAGTAAGAGAGAGAGCAAGAGAGGGAGAGTAAGAGAGAAAGAGAGAGAGAGGGGGAGAGAGAGGGGGAGAGAGAGAGAGGGGGGAGAGAGAGGGGGAGAGAGAGAGAGGGGGGAGAGAGAGAGAGGGGGAGAGAGAGAGAGGGGGGAGAGAGGAGAGAGAGCGGAGAGAGAGAGAGAGAGAGGAGAGAGAGAGAGAGAGAGGAGAGAGAGAGAGAGAGAGGAGAGAGAGAGAGAGAGAGAGAGAGGAGAGAGAAGTTTTGTTGCCGGGCTATGGACCCTCACCACGTACCACCTTGATGGCCCCCTCGCCGGAGGGGGCCCTGCTTCGGTCTGATTTAAAGGCCTCGCCACGCCACGCCACCTGATAGCCCCGTCACACAGCTGGAAAACAGCAAGATCTGGAAACAGAGCTAAGCTGGCAAAGCGAAACAAGGCAAAACAGAGCTGGGACCGAAACATTCAATGTGTCTGTAATTGCATACGCGTGCGTAGGTATCTGGCGAACTTGACCTTGCCTGGAAGTTACTTCCGTCGTTTTACCTGATGTCGATCTCTTAAATGGAGAGATCATTTAAGAGGCAGAAGACAGCCGTACTGAGAAAGTTGTTTGGATCTAGCTTCCTTGGGAGGAAGGGGCCGGTTTTAGAGAGAGAGCAGAGATCCACCCCCTCCTTCGCTTGCCTATCAGGCCGTGTGGGGTCCTTATTAAGTGGTCGTAAAATAAAATAATCACTTTGGGGAACTCGAACCGATATCATGAGTGGAAGGCTTGTGTTTAAGATGAAGCGACTTGACTACTCAGCAAGCCATGCTCCGTCGCTGGATGACATGAAGACGGCGCGTCTTGCTTAGGCTGCGATACACGCAGCTTGTTTCGTGCAGGTCTGCCCAACGCAGGTGCACAGGTGGTCCTGTTCACGACGGCATGCGTACAATAGACAGGACTGCAATTTGATGACACGATAGAACCGACTGCTGCTTTTGAGACGGGACATCGCTGAAAATATGTAGATGACCTCACAATATACGAAACACGTCCAATTGGCCGAATAGGGAGCACAGCCAGCTGCAAGATTAGACCATCTCCAAGATCATCTCTTACATCTCCATCTACATTTCCATGTCTTTTATGATTGCTCTCGCCCTCGGTCTCTGCATTTTTTGTATTTACATTACCATCATGGATTTACATCGAGCATTTTCGCCAGAGCCCAGGCTCGTCTTGCACCGGGAGTTCCCGGAAAAGCGGACATACTTCCTCCTGGAAAAGCAGTAGCAGTCGGCATAGGAAACGATTACACGATGCGAATGACTTGTGAAAACCACCTCAATGATTTTTAGTCGCATATCTATGCCAATCTAGAGGCACCATGATGCCGTGCACGGAAGAGAAAGTAAACGTAGCAAAATGGTGGTTTGTAACAAAATAAGTCGTCAAGACGCAAAAACGGCACTCAAAATCCCGAATAGCAATTCAAGTGGCAGACACGAAAAGCGCGTCCATCAAACGCGGTTTAGCTCAATGGGCACAAGTTTCTCGCAAATGGCGGTCTTGAAAACGTGACGAAGTCGGCCCGAGAAAACAAGGAAAGGCACCAAAAGAATCCCAACCGAAATTTGAAAAGCAAGACAGGTGTTGCTGCGGAGCCCCCACAAATCCACTCTTCGGGTCCGGCATGAGCAGGCTGCGGCGAGGCAACTGCTGGAGGGCTGGCAAGACAAGAGCTCAACCTGTTCCCATGCCTCTCACATCCGAAGCTCTTACTAATCGATGACAGCGTGCACGTGCTTCAGTGTCTGGTTCCTACGTTCTTGTAAGTCCACCGTCACGCATGTACCAAGTTTGGTTTAGCGACGAGAAGCGCGTGTCGTCAGACGTTAAAGTCAACAGCCAAACTATCGTTTTGAGTGCACGGATACTCCCAGTGAGGTTTGTGAAGCACCACTGCACAGGGAAAAGTGTACCGCCTGACGCACCATCAGCAGTCGTGAGGATGATTGAGAGTTTTAGAGCGCTACGACTGCAGATGGTCACACAACGTCCGTGTCGAAGGTCTGCAGCGACCGTGGGGGCCGGGTGGTGCTTGGCGGCCCTTCACGAGTTTTGGGCGGCTTTGAGGCGAGTCTGCAGTGGACAGTGAGGACATGTCAAGCCAGCCAGAGTGGTGGGAGGACGTCACAACAACGAAAGAGACGAGACAGTGGCTCAGAAAGTGGTCGAGACTAGGATAAATTGCATTGAGAGAGACAAACAACTGGCCCGTACATGCTGTCGGTTTCGTCCCCCAGGTTGCTTTCTCTGGGGGGATTTGAAATTGCATCCACACTCGTGGGGCCTGGAAACCATCCCGGACCTAAAAAAGCGCACGTGAATGGTCGTAAAGACCATGAAGCCAGAGACGCACCACGCCGTCATTTTAACAGCGTGCAGCCGAGCGGTACGGGGCCTGAAACGATTTACGGGTTACGTGTGGTACATGATGCACCGTTCAAGCTAAGTGGGGCATGAAAAACCCGGTGGTCAGATACAAAATAGCATCGAATACTCCGAAAACCAATGTTTGGTGTCACGATGCAAAAAACGACTAAAGAAGGAATGATATAAATCCGTCCGCTTTTCTGGCAACGACGTGTATGAATAATGAACAGGAGTGCTCTACTATATGATAATTAGACAATGTCGCGTGGCGTAATACCCATTCGCACTCCTTTGCAAAGCGCATAGTTTTATCTCAGAAACTGGAATTGGCTCACAGCATGACATAGGCTTATGCGCCATGCAATTGTTCCTCGGAATACCAGCTCATGAATCCCCCGTTAACGGACGGGTTCTTCAAGCTTGGATAATTTCAAACATGATTAATGTTAGCAGACATCTGTTCATACGTCTCCTTAGAAGAAACATCTGGCGGGCGTGTGATAGTACATGGCCATGCAGGTGTCTCGTATCAAATAATTCCGAGGTGTCACTCGTGTTGTAGGCAGTGGATCAGATTATTGATGTCCTTTCGACCTGACTCAGATTGGGTAGGTCCACAAAAAATACACAAAATTGTTGCATGGCGCAGTTAAAGTGCTTAAAATATTGAGCGGATTCTGTGTTTGCTCCTTAGTTGTACCCCTCCCCCCAAACAAATACATATGTGAGTGCCAAAATTGTCTTTATGAGCTGTTGACTAGGAAACAAATATAGACATTATGCAATTTAATCCAGCCCCTGCGGAAGTGTGAGAAACTCCCTGCACTTTGGTATCTGGCGAAAATTCCGAAAATGTGTCTAACTTTCGTCACCGCCGTCTGGCCGTGTGACGCATTCACACATCACATTCAATCGACGTTGTGTAAAAAGACACTGCATTCATCGGGAGGTGGATGGTCGATTTGGGGACAGCTGTGATTCCTGTCTTGCCTCTCCATGGACCACTCTTCACCACTCTTCCTTGCCAGGCCGTCACCGATCCGTGATTTCTCCGGCGCCTTGCCGAGCCGCCGGGGCTGGGCAGCCCTGGCCGGGGCCTCCTGTCACGGCCTGCGGGGCGGGGCTGAGTGCCGCACCCGCCGGCCGTCTGGAACTGGAGCCCGCGTTTGTACGTCGGCCGCACCGCCTCTGAGGTTTTCGTTTATGCCGGCGGCGGGCCGACTCAGCGCGTCGGCTCCAGCTGTTTGCGCTTGCCTTCCGTCCGATGGTTTATTTGATGTTGAGTTGTTTGTTTATTTGACGGACAGGTGGTTTGCCGACCGACCAGACCGGCACAGGATATTTTCCGGCAGTTTTTGTGTCCAAAGGTAATACGGAATCGGGTTTTGTTCTCTTTATTTGCATGATGTGTTCATCTGTCTCGCAGTGGTTTTTTGCATCCTTCATTGAACGATCCGTAGCTTGCAGCCTTTGACAGCATGTTCGCATGTTCCTGTTGCGCCGTTGAGTGTTAATGATGTTTGTAATGCCGGAACAAACAAGGGAATAGGATGGCACTGATGGTGCGTGGGTCACGTCTAGCATAGGCCGTTGAGAATTTTTACGGCATTGAAATCTCGTCTCATCTGCGCTCTTTGTATCTGGCCGAAACAGGTCTGGTTTCCGTGCATCTAAGATTTGTCTGGCTGCGCGTAGTACACGTTCGCCGATGACCAGCCTGTTGCGCCGTCTGTCGCGCCGTCACACCGATCGACCTGTGACGCGGCGTGTGTGATCCCGGCTTCAGGCCCTAAGCCGGGCCCGCCTCGGGACATCAAAATGGAGGACGCGCCCGATGGCTTCCTGCTCTCCTGGAAGCCGCCGATCGAGAAGCCGGACGTGGATGTGCTCTACTACTCCATCAAGTTCAAACCCAGCGAGGGCAAGTGGAAGCAGCTCGGCGACGAGCAGCTCACTGAAACACAGTATCTGGGTGAGTGAGAACGTGTCTATGGCCCGGATGACGTACGCCCAGTGTCTGTGTAAACAGACTAGTCCGTGATTGCGGTCTGCGCCAGTCTGCAAACATTTCTGCACAAAGTAAAACGGAATCATTTGCCAAGAAGATGGCGCCGTTTCGAGCCTCGTGACCGGCGGCAGGAGCGCGGAGTGATGTGCGCGTAGTTCATGCCACAGTTCTGGCAATTTCGACACGTTATGGGCGGATATTTGTTTATACGACATTCCCGTCAGATTTAGACATGGCGATAGGTGGCCGAAACATAAAGGCACATCATTCCTATGTATGTGGGCGGTACCAAATACCGCCGCGTCGAATATATCCAGCCCTGCGCGCTGGTGCCTGGTTATTCCCGCTATGCTGGGTGCAATATCCTTCCCATCGTAGCAACCGACGGCGCACATTCTGCCTGGCTTCTCGGTCTGTTTTTGCCTGATTTCTCGTCTATGCTCACACCGCCTACTCCATGTGCAAGTAGCTGGTGAGCCGTAGTGGATGAAGCAGCCTTTATGAAGGCGTCTCACATTTTTTTAAAGGCTGTTGAGAGCATCTTCCCAGAGACTTTGCCCAGGCACAGCAAAAATGCACTGCAGTATGCACTGGTGCTCGGTGTGGATTGTGTGCCCCTGCGAAGATGTGTTACAATCCGGTCTGTTGCAATCCGGTCCGGTGCCGCGCGCCACTACCACTGGCTCTAGTCGGAGATCCGCGTCCGGTACCGCACGCCGCCGCCACCGGCCCCAGTCGGGCTCTGTATCCGGTGGCAGGAGCGCAGATCCGGTCCGGTACCGCGCCGTCACCACCGGCCCCAGTCGGAGCTCCGTGTCCGGTGGCAGAAGTGCAGATCCGCACCCGGTACCGCGCCGCCACCACCGGCCCGAGTCGGGGCGCTGTGTCCGGTGGCAGAAGCGCAGATCGATGTGCGCACCGGGCCCGGCCGCCCGTCCGCCAGGCCGGACGACTGCCGGTTGGGGCAGAGCGGCCGCCCGCCCGCTCGGAGCGGGTATTTCTAGCCATCCGTCAGGTCGATGACAGGCCGCGCAACTCTCGCCGAAGGCCGAGGCATAGGCGAGGTGTATAGCTGGTGCGCTGGGCGCCATGTTTCGAGACGTTGGGAAGTTTCGGTCGACTCCTTTAAACCCATAGCCTGAAGCTGTTATTGATGTATTGAGTACTGGTGGCTTTCATGCTCGATCGAACGCCTACTCATGGCCGGCGTTTTCTGCTTGTGTTGTCGTTACTCACTGGTTTCTATCAAAGCAGGTGAGCGCACTGAGAGAAGTCGGTGTCAATGGTCGTTTCCTTTTGTGTGGCTGGTACTTGGTCTGTGCAGCTGTATGCCATTACAAAGAGTCGTGCTACATCCAGAACTGCGCCTGCCACTATATCTCGTGAAGCCGCAGTGGGGCCGACAGCGGTAGTGCATGTCCTCTTTGCAAGGTAGGCGTGCTGCATGACAGGCCTCCACGTCATTGAAAATTGGCTTTCAGTGTTTTGTTCGATGCGAGCCATTATAATCTGTGAAATTATGCGGAAAACTTACTGTGCCAAACATAGTGGGGCAAACAGGCCGGCTGCCGTCGGACCGCGGGACCCTGCGTCTGCATAATCAGCGCCTGTCATCTCCATCAGCCGTGACACGAGCCACGCGCGGCTCGCGGCTCCAATCGTGTAATGGCCGGGCCGAGGTGCCGCTCCTGCTGGACCGATTGGCATCGCCCGGCTAAGGTGGGGCCGCCAGTCGGCGACGTAATGCACCCATTTCGAGCGGCCATCGAAACCCGAGTGGCGTTACTGCACCGGTCTGACTCCTCCCCCTGAAGGGCAGCCGTGTCGTGCCAGCCGCCTCGCTGTCAGGACGCCACAAACCCGAGTGGCGTTACTGCACCGGTCTGACTCCTCCCCCTGAAGGGCAGCCGTGTCGTGCCAGCCGCCTCGCTGTCAGGACGCCACAGCGCGTGACCTGGGAACGGGTCCGATCATATTGTTGTTAGCTAATGAAGCCGCCTTCGTCGCTCGACGACTTGCGTCAAACCCTAGCGTGAGAATGCGCTTTTGATGATGGTGCCCAATGGATGCCCACCCTGTTTGGCCGAGCTGGCTTTGTCAATACCAATCAATAATCAGCAGCTTATAAACATTATTTATTCCCACAAAAAACAGACCTCCTCTAGTTTTCAACATTCTCTAAAAGCCAGCGATGATTGCGCCCTTTTGGGGCCGATATTAAGATCCAGGCAACATGCGGTTTATGGTTAACCATGTTGTTTCCAATTGTTTACATTGCCGTAGGCGCACATTAACACGCGCCAGGGTGCCGGTTGGATACCCTTCGCTCGGGTGAGGGTTAGTTTGATCCCTGAGACCTCAGGAACTAAGAGAGCTAGAGACACTAAATCCATAGGGAGTGTTGACTGTACGTGACCTCGCTTAGGTCAAAGTTTGAGGTTCATAGGTAAAATACCTTACCGGTTGAACCTTAGGATCAAATAAACCAAATTCCAAGAAGGTCAGGTTTCAGGTTGGTCTCTTAAGTGCCCCTAGAACCTAGATAACTGTTCTAAGCAAAAAGCCACATCCTCATTTTAGGTTATTGACCTAGTTTGACCTGAAGGTCATGTGACCGAAAGCATACAAAACTGCTGTGAGTTTTAAATTTGTATAAACGACAAAGGTTTCGCTAGGCGGTATGTTCCCAAAAAGCAAGATGATGACTTTAGGTCATTTTTGGTCAGTGACCTTTTCTGATCTTTAAGAAACCCATGGAAGATGTATGATGCGATTCTTTTTATGAATAAATTCGGAATGAGCACCAGGAACTGTCCCTCACAGCACGCGCTAGAGCAATAAAACAGGTTGATTTTGACCTTGATGTGACCTTTATACCTGACCCCAGGTCAATGTAATTTGTTCATTTCATTGTTGTGTTGCCTAAGAGAGTATCTCAGAGATGTACGGCATGCGAGTGCAAGCAAGCGAGTATGCACATTTGAGTTAGGCGGATGCCTAATGCCTGTTTGCTTGAATTCGTTTGCATGTACACGTGTCCGCGTATTCTCATTTTTGAGTGGGCACTGTATTTTGGTGGTGGATGGCAATCGCTCTTTGTTTGTTTCCCTGAATGTTGGTGTCCTGTAGGAGCTGTGGCTTTCTGTGGCAAGAAATAACCTAGAAAATAGAGTAGGATCATCGGCGGGCAATTTTGAGTTCACTTCTGGTTCTTTTTCGATGAAGGCACTTTGCCGAAATATCGACCAAACCATATCTCCATTCTCCTGGTTTTCCGAGAAACAAAGCTAATGCTACTGTTTTATCAGTGTGCTGTAATGTTTGCAATACACTCAAAATTTTGGTGTAAAAATGCTACGGGTGCTTGAAACATTCTGCTTAGACAAAAAGGTGTTCGAGCAAGAAGTTATTATCCCGCGAATTTAACGAAGCGTTTGACTATGGCTTTGAAATTTTTCCCCCTGGCGTTTGGCGTTGACATTTATAAGTGGCGTAAACCTCTGAGGCTCTTCCGGGCTACTTCGACTTTGGGAAGCGGAGTAGTATAGTGTCACATGCTCCATGTTATGCACCGGTCCAAACTTCAACCAACCAAGTTGTTGGTAACAGGCTGTTGCTCGCTGGCCAATCACAAACGCTGTTTTTATTTGCTCCAGTAGATGCGCGCACGACCGTCGCCGTGCGGACGCTGGGTGCGCCTTCAGCGAAAGGAGCGTAGTGCTGTTAAAGAGCGTAGACAGCATAACTTGGAATTCATAATTTCGAATATAATTAAAATTTATATCATCGTATTTTGACGGTGTTGCAGTGGCACTACGGTGGTGCGTTACGGTGGTGACGGTGGTGCGTTCCGGGCTATGACGTCACACGTCAGTCATCCGTTGGCAAGGGTGCGTTCCCGGGCTACGATGACGTCACACGTCAGCCATCCGTTGGCAGGGGTGCGTCCCGGCACGTCCAGGGCGGTCAGCGAATGGTGCATGATCAAAGCCGAGAGCAGAGGAGAAGTAGGCGTTTCTGAAGTGTGAGAAAGGTGATCATCTGGGCCTCGGTCACGTTCGATGTTTGGGTGGACGTCACGATGCTTGGGTGGGCTCGGCGGGGAGGGTTCGAACACGGTGGCATTAAAGGGAGTGTTCCACATTTGTGTGTGGTTTTGAACTGAAATTGCCATCTTGAAGATTAGATCGGTGTAGTTCACAGCCCTGCGCTTCTAAAGACGTAAGTTCTTCTGGTTTTTAGTTTCCAGCTCTTCAGAAACGTGACGCGGTATGCATATAGTGTAATGATGGTTGCGAAAGGACGTGGTACTATTTAGAATTCCAACTAAAGCTCGAGACACACCGGTTCTGCTCTTGCAGCAGTCGATGTACTGATCTCGCCTTTTATATCGACATGCTGTGATTGGAATTACAGCTACCAATATTCAGAAAACTAGTAAAGCAGTCACAGGGTTGATGAGCGCTTTTCGACGCAAGCATACGGTCGCGAGCGACGTGGGCGCGCGCCCTGTCTTGACGGCTGAATTTCTCGCTGGCAGCGGCGCCACGCTCTGTTGGGTGCTGTTCAATTTACCAAAGTCTGTTGAACCCTGAGCGTGCCGGCTGCCTCGTCAGGTCGCGAAGTTTGCGTCCGCTGGCCGGGCGCCCGGCGCCCCTGCCCCTCCCCCTGTCCCTCCCGCTCTCGTCTCCGGGCTGTCGATGAGGCTGAGACGTAACTGGGATGGATTCTTTACCTTGCTGAAATACACCCTTCGCACCCCTGAGACAGCCCCCGCCCCACTGGGGCAGACCCTCGTACGACCAGATCAGCCCCTAGCTAGCGGGCGGCCAGGCCCTAGCCAGCGGTCGGCCAGCTCCTAGCTAGCGGTCGGCCAGCTTGTGGCTAGCAAGCGGCCAGCCCATAGCCAGCGAGCGGTCGGCCAGCCCCTAGCTAGCGAGTGGCCAGCCCTAGCTAGCGGTCGGCCAGCCTTAGCGAGTGGTCGGCCAGCCCCTAGCTAGCGAGTGGCCAGCCCTAGCTAGCGGTCGGCCAGCCTTAGCGAGTGGTCGGCCAGCCCCTAGCTAGCGGTCGGCCAGCCCCTGGCTAGCAAGCGGCCAGCCCCTAGCTAGCGAGCGGTCGGCCAGCCCCCAGCTAGCGAGCGGTCAGCCCCCAGCTAGCGAGCGGTCAGCCCCTGGCTAGCGAGCGGTCAGCCCCCGGCTAGCGAGCGGCCAGTCATCCCCCAGCTAGCGGTCGGCCAGTCCCCAGCTAGCCAGCTAGCGAGCGGCCAGTCAGTCCCCAACTAGCGAGCGGCCAGTCAGCCGTGTCGGAGCCGGTTGGAGCTGACTTTCTGCTCTCCGCCTGGCAGTGCGGAGCCTGCAGGGCGGCCGCGACTACGCGTTCCGGGTGTACGCGCACACGTCGACCGGCTTCAGCTCGAGCGCCGAGTTCAAATACAGCATGTCGGACCGGATCCAGAAGAAGGCGATCACTGCGGCGCTGGTCGGCGGCTTGCTCCTGCTCATCGTCTCCATCATCCTCTCGGTGTGCACCGTCAAAATATGCAACAAGCGCAAACGAAGGAAACAAGAGAAAGGTGAGTGCATGAGAGATGTGCTTTGTGACAGTTGTTTTATCTTGGTCTCACTTTGCGGTCATGCCAACCTGAAGCGTACTGAGCGTCAGTCTATGCTAATGGCTGGAGGGGTTTCCAAACTGGATCAAGAAGCATGCGTCATAAATAACATTGGACTAACGAGCTCGCCCGACCCACGTGTGTGTGTGTGCTTGCTGCATCAGTTTGTGAACGGTGGACGGGAGCGCTGGGTCGGCGCGTCGGCTCATTTCTACACGTGTCATCTGACCTGCCGGTTCGGCGCGCCACGTGTGTGCGTGCGTGAGCGCGTGCGTGCGCCACCGCACGGTCTGCATGCCCTCCGTGTGTTTGTATGTGTGTTGACCATCAGCCGGCGACCCTCACGCTTCAGTGAGCCGGGTGCCGCGCTTGCATTGGTGTGCCGGTGCCAGCATCGCTCAGTGTCATGGCTGACGACCCCCGGCCGGCCGCGCCGCCCCGGCGCCGGCTGGGCGGCCGGAAGCCTCGCTCTCGCGTCAGTCGGCCGGCCGACATGGCTGATCGGTGCTGTCGACGAATGGCATACCTAACAAGGTTAGCTGGCCGGCGCGGCCGTTTGGCCGGTGCCGCCGGCGTGCCGCTTGATGTTTGCTCAGGATTGACGCCGCGGCGCCGTCCGCTCCTCTCCCCTGTTGCAGAGTACAACATGGTGGCGTGTCGCGTCACGGAGGCGCGCAACGGTCTGCATAGTCCTGTGCCTTTGAAGAAGTAAGTGCTCTCCAGTTCGGTGGGGTGGGGCTTGCTGTAGAGACGATTTGATTTGTGGCTTGTGCGGCGGTGGTGGCGGTGGGAAGAATCAGTCCATTTTTGCTGGTGATTTGGGCGTAATGCTCAGTGCCGCGTTTTGGGCACAAACGTAAAGCTGAAACGGTTGGGACTTCCTCTAGCGCTGAAGCCTCATGAGCCTTATGAAGGCCTCGCAGCGACGTCACTCCGTCCGAGCCAACCAGCAGTAAACGTGAACACACCGGACTAGCACTGAATTGTGCATTGTGGAGGAGGGCTGCTGATAATTGCGAATTTTTAAAGATAACCACAGACTTGATGTTTATTTCAGCAGATTTTGTCATATGAGTCGATTTGAAACTTGTCTAATACTCCGTTGTCGTATTAGAATGAACAACTCATAAGCGATTGCTTTCGCTGACAGCCATGGTCTGACTATGACCCGCCATTGTTCAGCGGCCTTACAAAATGATATAATTTGTCTTTCATACGCAGTTCTGTACATGCATATTTCTTGTGTGTTTGCATATATATTACTACAAAAAAAATCGGCGGTGCAATTGCCCACAGCTCTCTCAGAACTGGCAATGCGTCACCTTTTTATGGGATTTTGAACCTGGGAAGTCCACATTTTAGTCGCAAGGAACAACCAGAACATCATAAAAGCATCAGACGCCCCAGATCCTCAGTTATAATGTAATATATGTACCGCGCTATTCAATGCCGTCCTGTAATGGGAGAATAGCATGACGTGATTGGAATAATCAAGGACCACTGGCCGGGCATCAGTGATCGCTGGTCGGCCATCAATGATCGCTGGCCGGGCCATCAACGGCGGCCACCGATCGCTGGCTGATTGGATGCGACTCCATGCACGGCATGGTCTGACAGGATCGGATGGTTTCTATTGCAAAATTGCGATACACTCAGCACTTCTTGGGATCAATGAATGGGATGGTTATGTCTAATCAGCGGTGTTTTTTTTTGTACTTTTCATAGTGTATGGTTGTAAAACGCTTCCTTGAGCAATTACGCGTCCGTCAAAGAGATACAAGTTGCTGTTTGTTCGGCAAATTGTGACTGCCAGTAATGCTTCTGGCTGCATTTGACGCCTAATAGTAACACAATAATTAGTCATCTGTAAGCGTCTGCTTGATGTGCTTTCAGTGCCAGACCGCCTTTTAACGGCAGTGTTCCGCATTTGTATGAATTTTTTAAACTGAAGTAGCCATCTTGAACGTTCATATCTGTCGTTTGTGAGCAAAATAACCAGATATGACGGTCGACAATTGGTTCTTAACCAATGCTGTGCGAGGTACGGTACGTAATGTGACAGTGGTGTATTGAGGAGCGCATTTACTAATCAGAGAAATTATGCTATCTAGACCTGCCTTTTCATCATACCGGATGCTTGCTTCAATATCGTCAAATGTGTAATATTCCCTTAAATGAGATCGAAGTATTTATGTGATGTGTTGCGCACATGATGACGATCGTCTGTTCTCTGCCCGCACGCTACACCTCAGGACGCTCGAGAAAGGTGACGGACCGTCGCTAGACCATTATTAGACGAATCAACCATGTAATTACCAGTTCAGTAATCTTCCTAGATGTGCTACGAATGTGTACCCTCTGCATGAATGCCGTTCATGGGACATTGGGACTACCCCAAGGTGTCTGTCTCATCCCTGGCATGCGTACCGTTACAGAGAGCTTCGATCTTTTGGTGTGCCGACAGCCGTGGTTGATTTTTGTGTTTGTGTTTTTTAACACACCGTAGATAGTTATTTTCACTACCAGGTGCCAGGCTGTATGTCAGCACCACAGTGTGTGAGGAGCTCAACCAGTTAATGCGTCTGTTGTCAGCTATGTTTGCCTTTTATGTAGTGCGCATTTGACGGAGCTGCAAAAAGAGAGAGAGAGAGAGAGAGAGAGAGAGAGAGAGAGAGAGAGAGAGAGAGAGAGGAGAGAGAGAGAGAGAGCCATGTGTTCCCGGGTCGGATGTGAACGTGTGGTTCCCCCTCGTGCGGCTGCCTTCCCCCCCCCCCCCCTCTCCTGTTCCCGCCTGCCTGATGAGCTTTCCTGGCGCTCTCGTTACTTGACGGCCGGTGCCAATGATGTATTTGCGTTGGCTCCGCGCCAGGTGGCGGTTTTCCACTGCAAATGGACCGACGGCTGCTTGCGCCCGACGCCTCTCTCCATTACGCGTGGTAACTGTGTGTGGTGTGGCACCTGGCCGGCACACTCACCGGAGTTGGCGCCAGCCAGCAGCGCTGGTAGCGGGATAGCGAATCACGACCGGTCCCTTTTAGGCCAGGTGTAATGCAGTATAATGTGGCACTGACAGGGCGTGGAACAAGGAGGTTACTCAGAGAGCTGAATGCATATAAATTCGATGCGTAGTATAACATGCGGAGAACAAAAGTGAGATAATCGGCGATTTAGATACGTCGATCATGTGTCTCATTGATGTGCGGATAAGGTTGCTTGGTAGGAGTTGGATAAACCACGCACACATTCGCAGCAACCAGTGAGAGACTATCGGAAGCCGAAGAGCCATAACCGTACGGCTGATGGAGAGTATGGACAGTCGGGAGGCAGTGAGAAACAACGGAAATGAGGCCAGGAGCGACAATGGCTTTGGCTGTGGATGGATACCACGGGAACATTTGAGATAGGACCCTTAACACGGGCGGGGTTCGGTGGCGGCAAGTGTGCATATAGGTGTCATAGGAGATAGGGCCGCAGCTCTATCGGTGGCTGCCTGTGGTAGGTGTACGTAGCTGGGTAACAAATGTGAGGTGCGTGACACTTACCGAGGACTGTTGGGGACTGCTATCACAACGAGAGCCGTGTCCCTGCCCTGGTTCAGTCGGTCAGAGCGCCTGCCTCCCATCCTACTCGTGCAGCGGCGGGGGGGGCTGTCATATATATATATATATATATATATATATATATATATATATTGGTGACTGTATCAACGTGAGCCATTTTGACACTCAATCAAAGCGGTAGGTTTAAAAGAGACACCAACGACGACATCGGTCTGCCCGTCGCTGGGGGGAGAGTTGTAGCCGCTATGGCAGAGCTGTTCGCTAGCTAGGCAGCTCTTCCTGCACGTTGCATTAATTGAAAGATTCGAATGGATATGGCAGCCCAACAGTCATTGAGCACAAGCTTGCGCTTAACCTACGCTGCTCACATTTCACGGTGTGCATGCTTGCTTTAGTACGTGGGTTATGGTGCATGCCGCCCTACCTGTTCCTTCACATCGCGGCATTGCCGGCGACTGACGAGCTAATGCTCGCCCTTCGAGGGGAGCCAGCTCGGCGACTCGCGTGAGGTTTTTCCTGAAGAACTTCTGAACGGCTGAACATCTGATTCTGAGCGCTGCACCGAAATGCTGACCGAGTTTACTGAAGTTCCTGACCTTGACGGCGTATGATCCATTGCGTCTTTTGCTTGGTCGGACTTTGAACCTTGACTTATGACGTTTTGAACGTGCAATGTGCCTTTTTGACATAAATTTGGGGCTTTTGAAGAAATTTCTCGCTTCGTTTTTATCATTAGCGGGACTTTCTTTATTGTTTTTGTAACGTAGAAGGACGGGAAACAGCCTGCACTGTTTTGCCCAGACGTGGCATGTCGCAGCTTACACCCGTCGACGCCCTCTGATGTTCGTCGAGTTGTTTTCCAAGAGCTATTTAATGACGTGTCCCGTACTGGCGTTGCAGGTTCAGTTCGTGAGATGGCAGGGGGTTCGATTAATAGCCAAATTAACCCCTATGACCTGATTTGATCCATCAAAGGTCACATTCGCCATCGTTGAGTCACACCTATCCGATATGGTTTGACAAGTACCTTAAGGGGCGTTTTCCTCGTGGCGCTGGCTTATCAAATTCTTGAGACCTTGGGAGGGCTTGAGACCCTCTCGTAGGGCAAGGGTGAAAACACGCTAGTTTGGCGAATATTAATTGTTGTCTCCTTGCTGTTTGTGTGTGGTGTATGCTAGCCTCTGCTGTGTGTCGCGGCGGCTTGGGATGGCGCATCGCCATTACGGCGTGCTTGGTGACGCATCCACCGGTGTGGCGACAAGCACGACCGACAAAGCTGGTACAGCAATAGCTCGACAACCTTATTGATGCACAACATTACTTCTACTGCAAAGACTCATGCAGGATATTAGTGCTATACGACACGAATCTCTGTGTAGTTGAAACGATGACTGGTATAAGTTTTTGAAGCATGACTTTTGTTGTGCAGCACTAACGTCGCGTGGAAGTTTGCATTATAAATAAAGTCAAGTGTAAGTAAAACAAGAAGTTTTTAAAGTCAAACTAATGATGGGTATATTCTTTGAAGGATGCATTTTGTCGTGCAGCACTGATGTCGCATATAAGCATATTCAGTAAATGTGGAGGCATAGCAATGCTGGCGCCAGTAGGTGTTGCTGCATCATTAATGTCGCGGATCCGCACTCATTTCTTTGTGATGGGACGACGGGTCTCAGACGGAACCCACCGTATCAAAGCCACTGCATCACCGGGACCGACTGGGGCGCAGAGGTGTCATTTGTAACTTTCACAATATGAAATCGCTGACATTGCGCCATGCTTTTGCTACAATGGCGCTTTGTCGTTGTTGCGATTGGTCCACAAGAGTGTAGATGCGACGAAGAAGGAGAGTTCAGTTTCGCAGTCTATACGGCCGTGCACAGATGACTGTCCCGGATGGTGAGATCCGCACGACGCAGTACTCTGACTGTACACAGTACTCTGACTGTACACAGTACTTCAAACTGTACACAGTACTCTGACTGTACACAGTACTCCAAACTGTACACAGTACTCTGACTGTACACAGTACTCCAAACTGTACACAGTACTCTGACTGTACACAGTACTCCAAACTGTACCCAGTACTCTGACTGTACACAATACTCCAAACTGTTCGTGACCGAGCGTCCTTGGTGCCGAGGCGGGGCACCCACCCACACGGGCCGTTTCCTTACATGACCGATGAAATGTCATGCGTCCGTGTGTCTGAGTTTGGCTGCTGTATCTCCAACGTCTCTAGTTTTGTTTTCTTTATGCTATGGCTGATGCGGGAAGGCATGTTTGCTCGAAAAGGGCAGTTCAAAGCACTGTAAAGTCTGCGCTTCGGTGCGGGATTTGTCAAATGCGTCAGTCAACATTGGACAATATAGCGGGCTAGAACTTTTGGAGGAAAAAAACAACAGAATCCTTTTCTTTAGACACGTGCTATCATACGGCGCAAAATTCCCGTCCTACTTACAGCTCTTGTTTTGTACATCAAAATATTTATTTAGGGAGAGTGCGGCCCGGTAAGGCAACCCTGATAAGCTGCTTACAAAGTTTTCATCGTTGGTGTAATGGCTCCGTTCGCATCGATGTTGCACATTAGTGTACTGGCATTTAACATTTCGCAAGAATGAATGATTTACGCAAGTTGTTCAGTGTATTAGCGAGGAGCATTATTCCCATAGATAAGGCAGTAGTAGTAGTCTTATTCCTCGGAAAAAACAGGAGAATGGAAATATGGTTGGGTTGACATTTCGGTGAGATGTCTTTATCGAAACATAGCAGAAGTCAATTATATGTAACGTAAGGAGTTCACGTCTGCTATTAATTCGATAAAGGCATGCTGCCGAAATGTCAACCTAACCATATATCCATTCTCCTGGTTTTTCTGAGGAATAAGACTACGACTACTGCCTTATCTATGGGAATGAATGATTTCTTAGAAAACTCTGATACGGTGACCAAAACGCAAATTGTAAAATCAAACTCTGCCCGAATGCTGCGAACATCCTACAGAAAGATTATAGTCGTAAATTACCAAAGCGCTGGTTAACGCATAGAAGGTGCTTATGACATTAATGCAGTTCAGCATATTGCAAAACAATGGCGTGATCCCTACTTATTCGCTTTTGCGACAGGACGAGACAAACGGGATTGGGGATATCTGGGAAACTTGTCTGCCGGATAGGGCCATTGAGACCACCGCCGGATGTCTGGGCTGCACTGCTTCACCTGCCTGCCCTACTGTTTCAAGAGGCTGAACTTTAAGGAGTGTCGAATTTGGCTGAATCCTTGATCCCGCCGTGCTTTAGACTGGAGACTTAAGGCGCGTTCACAGATTGGGTAGGACCGGAGCCGACGCGTTTTCCGGCCGGGAATGTAGATCGTACGGCGTATGTTAGCGGTGTGATTAGGCCGTTGTGCTGCTGCCGCAGGTACGTGCGCCGAGTACCGCGTCTGATTCGGCACGCCAGCCAGCTGCTGTGGCGACCGCGGCCGTCCACCGGCCTCTCCCAGAGTCTGATCGACGACCTGGACCTGACGCCGCGCCGCGCCAAAACCGTCTACAGCGTCGAGATGGAGTACAGCCAGCCACTGGCCTGGATCACCCGCACCCCCGACGGTCGCTTCGTCGTCAATGGCGACGACGACGGCGGCTTCCTGACCGACTCCGGCGAGCGGCGGCGGCGCCGGCAGCTGCAGTCGCAGCCGCAGCCGCTGCGAACGGGAATCTATCACGTGGAGCGCGGCCGGCGCTCCCCAGAGCCGACGCCGGTGCCGGCCGGCCGCCGGGTGAGCCACGGCTTCGGCCGCCACCAGATCCCCGAGCAGGCGCCGGCCGTGTCGCCGCACGTGGCCCTCTCGCCGGACGGTCGCCGGTTCCGCGCCTCGTCGCCCGGCCCGCTGGGAGGCCAGCTGGGCCCGTTCGACTTCTCCGACCTGAGCTCGGTGCAGGTGCCCGGCTCTGTGGAGCGAACGTTCCCCAGCACAGTGCTGTCGTCGCTGTCGCAGCTGCAGACGCCCAGCTTCCGGGAGCGCCAGGCGGGCCCGCAGGAGACGCCGGTGCGCCGGCCTGACCCTCGGCTGCCGGCGCTGCGCACCATCCACGAGGCGGCGGCGGCCGACGCTGGAGGGCCGCACTACGAAAACTGGCCGGTGGAAGGCCGCTGGCGGGCGCCCGTGGCCGAGCCGCGGCTCCCACGCCTGCTGCAGCCGCGGCTCGCCTTTCGTGATTCGGGCCAGCACGTGCACATGGTGGGCCACATCGAGCCACCCCGAATCGCCGACATCCCGCGTCCCCGCCCGCGCCAGCGCGCCCAGCCCGTGTACGCCAACACGGGTCCGTGGCCGGCCGGGCTGGACGCCTACCGGCCGCAGCGGCCGCTGGCCACCAGCTCGCCGCCGCCGGTGCCCGTACCCAGCCGGCCGCGGCTCGTGTCGCGCGCCGAGCCGCAGACGCCGGTGCAGCGGGCCGCAGCCCCGAGCCACCCCGCACTCGAAGAGTCTCCGGCCAGCTCTCTGGGCCGCACCGACCGGCCGCTGGCCTACACGCGCGACAAGCTACAGGCGGCCATCGGCCGAGTGCGCTCCCAGCTGGGCCTGCTGCGGCCGGCCAGCGCGCCGGCCCTCTCGCGCTGGCCCGACGACGAGCCGCCGCCGCACGAGAAGTCCAGCTCCAGCGGGCTCGGCTCCGGCAGCAAGAACACGTCGCAGCGCACCCACTCGTCGTCGGGCATCTCGCAGCAGATATCGGACTCGCAACTGGAGCCGCCGCCGCCGCCGCCGCCGCCGGCAGCACTCCCGCCGCCTCACTGGCGTCCGGCGGAGCGCGCCGGCACGCACTTGCCGGCGTACCTGCCGCCGCCCGCCTACCTGGCGCCCCCGCAACCGCTCGACATCTCCGTTGATGACCACTACGAGTTCGACCCGGTGCTGACGCCGGGCACGGAGTCGCCGGGCGGCGCGCCGCCATTGACCCGTTCCCGGCCGCGACCCGTGCCCGAGATGGAGGCTCGTGTGCAGGCAATGCGCCAGGAGTTTCAGCAGTACCGGCAGCGGCGCGCCCGGCGGCACCGCTCTGGCGACGAGCCCATCACCGAGACGGTCTGTTGAAACAGTCCCGGAGCCGCACACTCCCCCCCCCCCCCCCCCCCCTGTGTTCGCTAACGCTACTGCCATTCATGCTTTACGTTCGCCATCAGAGTACAATCGTGTGTTTGCGTTTTGCGCCGTGCTGTTGCTCGATATTTTTTTGCACGGCGGGAGGTTTTGTGGCATTACATCTGCGATTCTTTGGTTCAAATGTGACAGCTTTAATGGCGCCGTCGCGGCGGCCGCTAGCGTGTGGCGGGGTGCGGCGTGGACCGGCGGCGGCTGGCGCGCGCGCGCCGCCCGCTCGGTCGCACCTGTTCCTGTGATAACCGGTCCTCTCGGGCCGACCAACTCTCGGAGCCCCCTCCCCCTCCCCGGCTCCTCGCAGGTTGTACATAAGCGTGAAGATGCGAAGATGCGTGACGTGTCGGCGTCGCCCACGCACTCCGACCCATGTATATAGAGGTGTTTTGTATTGTTGTACCTAGGCCGCGCAGGCACTTCACTCTCCGTAGTTGTTCAAAACGCCACCATCCCCGAGAACCTGTGTAGTGCAGTTAAACGGTGCCGGTCGGTAGTCTGACGTGGTCGGAATGGTCAGCAGTACTGGGCGTTGTCAGCCGTTCGCCAGAGCCCAGTGCCGCCGACTCCTTTTGCGTTGCCTAGCGACACCCACCACGCCCGTCTGTTGAGGCCGCGATGATGGAGGGACCGAGAGGGTGTCGTAGCTGGTGATGCCGAAAATCTGGTCTGTAGTTACACATGTCGACTCGCCTAACGTCATTTGGACCGTGACCAAATGCGGCGTTGCCGACTACAGATGGAGCCCCCCCCCCCCCCCCTCCCCGGCCCTCGGTATGCCCGACACGAGCAGTGACTTCCCAGTCACTGTGCCCACCGTTTAGTGGTAGGAATGTGCGTGGCGTTGTTGTTGCCGGAATCTCCTGTTGTTTTGTTGGAGCGATTCTTGCCGGGCTTCTTATGTTGTTGAGAATCGTCGAGCCCGGTGATGTTGGCTGGCCTGTGGCCCTGTGCACAGGCGTAGGAAATATGTTAGAGGGGGCCAATTCTGCGAAAACAAGCTGATTTGTGCGCAACGTCCTGGTTTCCACTCGACTTCGACCATGGTGCGTTGAGCTTTTGAAAATTTGTGTGATGACTCGTGTTTTATATCATGCGCCATTGTTTGTCCATAAAGTCGTGGGGCTCAAATACATTGCAGACCCCCTCACCTGAGATACTGCCCCCCCCCCCTCGGCCTTATCTGAGATACTGTCTCGCCGCCTCCTCCCCCGACTCTCTCTTTGGTTCGCGCTCCATTGGCTCCGTGGCCCGGTGTGTTACTGTGCGCGATATGTTGTGTGTTTTTCCCCTCTGACATACCTCACGGGCATGTTTTAGTCACGGGCGTGCTGCTACGACTGATGCTCAAACCCCGAGAGGGCCCATCCCCCCGGCGCTCGGCCGCACACCGACTGATGGCCGCTTCGGCCGCCTAACAGCATCATGCTTTTCGCTTCGCATGACATGTATTATATACTGTACCACTTGGCAAATACAGTGTCTTTTGTACAATGTCGATGGTGTTTGTGGTGTGCGCAGCGCAGATGACGGACCTTAATGCAGCACAAGAACTTTTGGCACGGACTAAGGACCAGTCACTGCGAGCGGGGGCAACAGAATGACGGCCTCTTCAAGATGGCGCGAAACACGTAAAGCTGTCCTACTTTTGTGCGGTTTTGATACAGTTTCATTGGTGGCATTTCGTTTCCATCAATGCGTTAAAACATGCGACCGGTGATTGCATTAGGCACTGCGATCTAGAACTTCAGTAAATTCCATTTGTTTGCTTGGAATAACTGTATTCAACCGATCACAATTCCATTCAAGGAAGCAGTCATGCGGTGAAAAATGTACGAACGACAATCAGCACAGTTATCACCCGAGGTACGCATGTAGCGTAAATGTCATCGAGCCATGCTGGTAAATCTGCCCACCAACGGTACCAGATCACGTGGCGGTAATTGATTTCCGTTACTGCGACCGAAGCGCCAGCCCTAGACCCCTTCTCATTTGTTTTTTGTTACACACGAGGCGCGGATCCAAGATTCCAGGGGGCGTTTTCTTTAAAAAAAGCTCCCTTCTTGTAGACCTCTACCCTGACTGCATCGCAATCCTACAAGTGCTTCGCTGACAAAGCAGCAAACTGAGCATCGGATTCCTTGTTTGATGGTGTTTTGATCGCTCTGATGATCCCTTTAGCTTCCCATCAATGATCGTTCAAGATGACATTAAAGCTTATCCATCCGAGAAAGGAACCACCTCGTCAATAAACAAACAAACGCATGTGGACCTCTCAAGCTGTATGAAGGGCCACCGTAAGGGCGCGGAGCGCCGGATCGCTGGGTGTTTTGTGTGCCGCTGATGAACGCTGGTGCCTTTCATAACTGAGCACGCATGATGTGCGAGTGATTGTGGCTATGATGCGATGCGCTATGTACTTCATAATGTGTCCTTTTTATCAGTATGCGCTCATGCCACTGATATTTCAACATTGCACTGGCGTGTGGTTCAACGAGCTTCGTCCGGCGCCACGCCACGCTTTGTTCATCGCAGATGGCACGATGCTGGGCGGATGATAGACAATTTACGATGGCAAGTCCCGGAGGCGTCTCAACCACAAGCTCCGAAAGAGGGATCGGGTCACCTAGTTCGGGTGGCTAGGCACGTCTACTGGCAGATAGGGCCGCCGTCCCGCGGGCTTAGCGAACTGCCAGCAGCGACGCCACTCCAGGACCGGAGCGCGCCGTGATGCCAGACCAGCCGCTGTCACAAGACGGATAGGGCCGCCGTCCCCGACGCCACTCCAGGACAGGAGCGCGCCGTAACACCAGACCAGCCACTATCACAGGACGGATGGGCCAGGCGGTCCCCGCCACATAATACGCGAAGCGAGGCTGAGCGAAAGAAAAGAGGAGAGGGGAAGGACGAGCGCCTCCAGCCGTCGGTACTAACAGTGGGTGATGATATGCACGACTTCACCGATGGTTAGGGCGACGAACAATAGATGTCATAGCAAATGGCCCATCGATGCAGCCAGTGCTGTCTTTACATTGACATTAACGCACGTGGGCCTCTTGGCAGCTTGAGAGCGCACGCACCGTGCGCGCTCTTCTTGTCTCGTCAGAGGGATTAGTGTAAATCCAGCTCCGTTTTACTCTGCAATGGATGAGGGATGAAAGAGGTACGTTAAGTGGGCTTGTGCCATCAGGCGCGAAGCAAGGGACAGGGGCAGGTGCATTACGTTAGACCGGCTAATACTCTCTGTTATCGATGCAAGAAAAACGTGTGCGAAGTTACGTCAGTTCAGCTAATTTCTTTCGGTAGCAAATGCAACGTAAAACACGAAACACATACCCGCACCGTTTATTCACAGACAAGGGTACCCTTGGATGGCGGGTGATCATTACATTGCAGAAAAGGTTTTCCCGCACGGCACATGGAGTTCCCCACGCACTGGCCATTGGCTCCGTGGTTGGGTCCATCAGAGACCTGGACCAGGTTGCTACCCGCAGCAAGTGGGGAAGGCGGGCCCGGGTGACCTTGCCCGGGGTTACCTTGCCCCGAGTGACCTTGTCGTTTTAAGTGATGTAATTCGGGCCAAGTCATATTAATAAAAACGGATTTCTTAACTTATGGAGAAAATCAGCACGTTAATGCCGAAGTGTGCTTTGAAAACACACATGCAAGTGAAAAAACCAGCACGTTTTGGCTGAATGGCAATGTTATGGCAAATGCTATGGCAAATGTTTATGGCAAACCTGTAATGGTGATAAACATAACATAAATCAACAAAACCTATTGGCAACCAAGAAAACATATTCGTTGGCAATTGAGCAGGTGAAAACCTCTTAACATTTGATTACTTAATGTAATTAGCAAATTTTTTGGCTGAAATTCGAAGAAGAGCAAAAGGAGTTCTCAGTGAGAGTCACCGGGGACGGAAGGCACCGTCAATGGGCGTCTGTCTTTGTGCACAGAACGAGCTTAACATGGCAGCATCTGAATGGGGCAAGTGAGTATGAAATGTGCCGCCAAGCACAGTATGTGGCTGGACATGGTCCGCCAGAGTGAAGGCGGACTGCGTTCGATGATGTATGCGAGAACTAGTTTTGGGGTCCATTCGGAAACTAGCGAGCTTTCCTTGGTTTGATGTGGTACGTGCGCTGACGCCCGTGCTGATCTCATTCACGCCGTAAGAAAAGCGATATGACAGATTGATGACAGCAAGAAAATCATAGACTGAGCAAGAAAGGTGGTTACGGGCAGGCATGTCAAGAGTCTGTTTGGCTGCAGCCTCTGCGAGGTCGTCCCTTAGATGGCAGATCGGCCTTGTATCCAGGAATTGAGGACGATGTGGCGCGAATTGTATGGGTCAAAGGTTGACTAGAATTATGTATCAATGATAAGGCGTGCGAGGAAAAGCTCGCGTCCGTACAGACGACTGTTAATTGGTGTGTTTGTTTGAGGTAGCAAAGTGCTGAAAAGGCTGCGAATAACTCCGATGTGTAAACCGCATGATAATATGAAAGGCGTTTAGCTTTACTATGCTGGTTGCGGATAAATGCAACTTCGGTGTTGCTATCCGTTCGGGAGACGTCGATATTATATATGTATGTATATATATACATATATATATATATATATATATATATACTTTTTTTTTCTCTCTCTTCTCTCTCTCTCTCTCTCTCTCTCTCTCTCCTCTCTCTTCTCTCTCTCTCTCTCTCTCTCTCTCTCTCTCTCTCTGTGGTATTCATTTCGAATCTCTGCGAACAAGGACGGCGCCTCCATATTTGTGAATGCGCGTTTCGTGTATGCCACATAGTAATTGCATTGTGGCAGGGCTGTCAAGGCAGATGCGACATGGCGGAGGCGTGGGGAAATTGTAGATCTGTGGGAGTTGGAGCTAGTGTTGTGCTTGGAATCCGCGGGTGCTGATTGTGTATGCTTGCTGCGTTTGTGAAGAGGGTGCTATTAGTATTGTTGTGTACGTGATTAGTTCCCCTCTGTCCTGCCGACGTAGGCGCCGTCACGGTAGCACAGTGGTTTAGCGCGTCTGCGCTGTGGGCGTGTACGCATTTCGTGTTGGGTTCGAATCTCAAGAGCGGCCGACTGTTTTGTAAGGAGACATTTTACTTTCACGTCTCTTCTCGAAGCTACGTGGTCACGTGACCCGGCCAATCAAAGGAGGAGAGTAGGTCACGCCTGGGGTCGGGTCGGCGGTGGGTTAGTGATGGTCCGGGCGGCGCCGGGGAAGGTAGTCAGCTCTCGTTGATATTCACGACGTAGCTGGCTCCTTTCCCTCCGCTTCCTTTGACTGTCGCTCCGGTCCTTCTACCCTCGGCTCTCGTTGATATCACGACGTAGCTGGCTACTCTCCCTCCTTCCCTTTGACTCCGACTCCGGTTCTTCTACTACCCTCCGCCGTTGATATACCGACGTCAGCGTGTCCTTGTCAACATTGCTATTCACGATGTTGATGCATCTTTCGTGGCTGTTGTTGTTACCGACGGCTGCTACCTCCCCTGGGGATTAAAGCCGCCGTGTAGTCTTACCGAACATGTCTAAGTGATGTAGGAAATTTGGATGACTTCATGCCTATGTGCTCCTGTGATTTATATACCATATTTTGGTTCAACGCCTTTGATCTACTAGAGATGAAATCGAGCCGCCCAACAAAACAGCATTGTTTAAGTGGGCTGCGTGGGTCTGGCAGCTGCCCGTGCATCAAATCTCCGTAATAAGAGCTTGTGTCGATACATTGGGAGCGGTTTCGCATGCTTTCACCAATAGGGCGGACTCCTAGGAGATGCGGAGTTTGCCCGTAATTAGGCGGAGAACGGCGATCTGGATAGCTCCATGGTGTTAACCCCCCCCGGCCTGGGGTCCAAGACAACTACGCCCGGCCTGGGGTCCAAGGCAACCGCCCCGGCCGGGGGTCCAAGGCAACTACGCCCGGCCTGGGGTCCAAGGCAACTACGCCCGGCCTGGGGTCCAAGGCAACTAACGCCCGGCCTGGGGTCCAAGGCAACTACGCCCGGCCTGGGGTCCAAGGCAACTACGCCCGGCCTGGGGTCCAAGGCAACTACGCCCGGCCGGGGGTCCAAGGCAACTACGCCCGGCCTGGGGTCCAAGGCAACTACGCCCGGCCTGGGGTCCAAGAAACTAATGCGCTCGGCGGGGTCCAAGGCAACTGCGCCCGGCCGGGGCCCGAACAACTACGCCCGGCCTGGGGTCCAAGGCAACACGCCCGGCCTGGGGTCCAAGACACTGCGCCCGGCCGGGGGTCCAAGGCAACTGCGCCCGGCCGGGGTCCAAGACAACTCGCCCGGCCTGGGGTCCAGACAACTGCGGCCCGGCCGGGGTCCAAGACAACTGCACCCGCCTGGGGTCCAAGACAACTGCGCCCGGCCGGGGGTCCAAGCACACTGCGCCCGGCCGGGTGTCCAAGACAACTGCGCCCGGCCTGGGGTCCAGACAACGGCTCCCGGCCGGGGGTCCAAGACACAACTGC